AGAGAAGACTATAAGGAAGAAGAGGGAAACAATTCATGTTACTTGCGTATCATAATATGTGCTTTTACCCTTTCTTCATTGTAAGCTGCGCTGTGTACAGTGTTTGAAACCCATTCCATGCCTGTCTCTTTCTGGAATGGTTTAAAGCTTGGTTTTTGGAAGTATCTATAACAGTCCTACTCTCAACACACCCTGTTCACTATAACTGCTACAGAATCTACTTGTTCCAGTCAGAAGCATCTGACTGCTACTCCAGTGATTTATTTGCTTCATTTGTACCCCACCTTTCTCCCCAATGGGGAGAAAGTGGCTTACATCATTCTGGATACCTTCTATCTAGGCCTGGGGGGCACTGTGCGCCCAAAATCATGGCCAGAAATGCTGGGATATGTACAAAGTAAAATGGGGGGTCCCTGTTACTGGTGCAGCTGCTGCTACAGTGCAACAGCAATGGAGCTTCCACATGGCAAGTTTACCTGCAGGTTCCCTGCCCCAGTCCCACAGCAGTGGCCATCCTTCCTCCCCTGGGCCACTGGAGCCTTAATTGGCAATTGAAAATTGTTATATTGGTAACAATATGTTTAGCCAGTCTTCTGAATTCCCAGCTTTCATTTTTTTAAAAAGCAAGTTTCTAGCTCCATCTGTTGTAGAGAAATGCCTTCCCCCTTGTGTCTCAGCAATGGAAAGGGCTAGAGACTTGCTTTTTAAATGGAAGTTGGGACTCTCTAGGGAACATGCTAAATATAGGGCAATGTATTATTATACTGATATAAAATATTCATTTGCTGGTTTAAAATAAAATAGTGGTGGGGGAACAGCTGCTGCAAGGACAGGGTCAGGGAAAGTGGCTGCCAAGTGGTCAGGAAAATCCAAACTTTTCCACTCACAGAGTGGCCACTGAAGCTCTACTGCAGTCTTTCCTAAAACTGGGCTGCGAACCAGCTTTGAGAAAGACAAGCCAGAAGTTAGGGAAACCCCAGGAGGTGCACAAACACACCATGATTCTGTTGGGAAGGAGGGAAAAAGTCCACTCTGCAACAACATGGAACCCGGGGCAGATAATCTGTGTGAAAATAGGTTAATAATGTCCCTGTGAACTTTTTCTAAGTCTCAGAAGGTGTTAGTCTGCAATAGAACAGTTAGATTTTAACCCAGTAGCACCATGTTCAGGGTGGTAAAAACCAGTGAGGATTGTGAGGCACTCCAAAGGGATCTGTCAAGGATGGGCGAGTGGGCGTCAACATGGCAAATGGGGTTCAATATAGCCAAGTGCAAGGTGATGCACATTGGAGCCAAAAATCCTAAATATAAATACACATTGATGGGGTCTGAACTGGCAGAGACTGATCAAGAGAGAGATCTTGGAGTTGTAGTGGATAACTCACTGAAAATGTCGAGACAGTGTGTGACTGCAATAAAGAAGGTCAATGCTATGCTGGGGATTATTAGGAAGGGTATTGAAAACAGATCAGCCAATATAATAATGCCCCTATATAAATCAATGGTGAGACCTCATTTGGAATACTGTGTGCAGTTCTGGGCACCACACCTTAAAAAGTATATTATAGCTTTGGAAAAAGTGCAGAAAAGGGCAACTCGAATGATAAAAGGGTTGGAACACTTTCCCTATGAGGAAAGGTTAAAGCGCTTAGGGCTCTTTAGCTTGGAGAAAAGACGACTGAGGGGTGACATGATCGAGGTTTATAAGATTATGCATGGGAAAGAGCAGGTAGAGAAAGAGGTACTTTTTTCCCTTTCTCACAATACAAGAACTCGTGGGCACTCCATGAGACTGCAGAGCGGTCGGGTTAGAACGGATAAAAGGAAGTACTTCTTCACCCAAAGAGTGATTAACACATGGAATTCACTGCCACAGGAAGTGGTGGCGGCTACAAGCATGGACGGCTTCAAAAGAGAGTTAGATAAGCATATGGAGCAGAGGTCCATCAGTGGATATTAGCCACAAGGTATAGATAGGGGCTCTGGGGCAAGTGATGCTCTGTCTTCTTGGTGCTTGGGGGGGTCAACAGTGGGAGGGCTTCTAATGTCCTGGTCCCACTGCTGGACCTCCTGATGGCACTGGTATTTCTGGCCACTGCGTGACACAGAGTGTTGGACTGGATGGGCCTTTGGCCTGATCCAACATTGGCGTCTCTTATGTTCTTATGTTCTTACGTTCATAGAGACCAACAAGAATTTCAGGGTGTTAGCTTCCGAGAGTCAAAGTTCCCTTCATCAGACACTGGAGAGGTTTACAGAGACTCAAATCTAACTACTCTTCTAAGTCTGTTCTCTCTGCCAGATTAACTGCAGGCAATTGTGGGATGCAGCACAATCAACAGCTACTTACTGAATGGAAAATTAAATAACTGGGGGCTTGCAGGGACAGTAAAGTGCAGAAGGAAGACATACTGCATCTGGCAGAAATAAAACTCAGAGCAGAGATTCTATGTTGCTTTAAAAGCAGAAAAGGTTAAGGCAAAACACACAGACATACCCAGACAACCTTTTTCTTCCACTTATCAAAGCACAAGGACTTGCTTGCTTAGATAACTTAGTGTTAACAAATGTGGAAAAATTAATTGCTGCGCAGGATGTTTTAAAGGACACTATAATAAAATCACAGAGCACATCCCTGCTAATTGTTGTCACATGGTTATAAAAACTACAAATCAAAAGAGCTTTAAGACAAAATAACATCTTTGAATTCAGTTCAGTGGAATATCTAAACATATGGCAAGGGTAGCAAATTTCTGTTTTCTAAACAAATTTAAGAAATATATAGTACTTACAATAGGATCTTTTGATTCCAGTGCTAATTTAAATTTTTCAGTGCAAGACATCTGAAGGCACTCCATGGTAGTTACTTCTGGACTTGTAGACAAAATAAATATTGTAATTGCAGTAAGCAGACTTCCTTCATCCAATTCTTGATGAGGACCTTCTACCAATAAACAAAGAAAACAATCTTAGATTTGTGTTTTAAAACAGAAGTTTTTAACCCATTCTGGATATTTACATGGAATGCTATCGATGTTCTCCTCATGCTGAAGTAGTCACCAAATAGCATAGCTTACAGTATAATCATGATGTATGTGTGTGACAAGCTCCACTGAGACAATGTGATGTGAATGAGGGGACTAAGCTGATAAAAGAAATCAAGCAGGAACTAAAGGAGCAAAAGACAACAGTGGTCCTGTCCTACAATATATATATATTAAAAGTCTGATTCCTGCCTGGGGGCATGTTACCAGGTCCAACATTTTAGGTGTCAGTGGTTAACAGGCCACTTGTTTTTGCACCCTGACAGTGGGTTAGTTAGTTAGTTTACCTTTATTGGCATTATAAAAGGGAGAACATTACGACAAATACATAAAAGGATTGAATATAGAATAAATCACATATTAAAATGTCCCAAAATAACAGTATATTACTTCGTATAAGAACAGCAGCATATTAAAACTTAGCCACAGAATCAGTTATGTTGTCATCAGTGTTGTTAAGCAGAAAAAACTATTGATATGTATCAGGAAAATCCATACTGCTGGATAAAATTGAGGATAAAATACTTTGTCTAATATTATTATAATAAGGACACTCTAACAACACATAAGGCACTGTTTCAATAGTTCCATTTAAACAAGGGCTATGTCTATTAGTAAGGGGTATACGCTAAAATCTTCCAGTTAAAATCGCTGTAGATAAAACATTACGCCTAGCAAGAAAAAAATTCTACAAAATTTTGGAGTCTGTGGTTGGTAGATGCAACTAGGAAGAAGTCCTACAGTGGGAAATATCCCACAGCTAAGGAGAGAGCAGGTCTTATTGGCTGCATTGTACAGATTGGATAGCTCTACCTCCAATAATCTGTTCCTTATTTTTTGAAATGCCTCCGTTTCTGAAAGTAAAAGGAGAACAGTGGGTTAGATCCCACCAGAGAAGAGTTCATGGAAAGGGCTGGCAAAGTCGATCTGTCTTCTTTCTGAAGAAACCTGCTGCTTGTCCTGGAACTCCTCTCTAAGGATCTATGAAAGCAAGCCATGAATAGAAGAAAGAAAAAGAGCTAATTTTTTATTCCTCATCATTACTGCAGCACTCCATCCACTGGGGCTCATTTTGCTTGCAAGACTCCACCAATCCTCAGAGGAGTTTCATGAAAATGATGGGCAGCTTGGAGAAGGAGACGATGAGGAAAGATGCCCTCCGTTGACTCTATGAACTCTTCTCAGCTAGATTCAACCCATTATGTAAGCACATTTTATCTTTCTTAACACCTTCAGTTACCTGAATCCCAAAAGTCAAGAATAGTAACCAAAGCACTACGGAGTAATTCATTCCAAGCGGTCCGGCTCTTCTCTGCCCGAGCCATGGGAGAAGACAGAACTCCTTTAAGAGCTTGCAATGATGCAGCTGCAGTCAAGGATAACTGGCGACTGGGTAATTTCACAGCAGTCTCTCTAAGGACTCCAATAATCAGATACAAGATAGTAGGAAGAACAGCAATGCTTCCTGTAGATCAGGATAAAGACATGAAAAAATAATCACTATTAATGATCAGTATTAAGAAGAGACAGCTAAATAAAACAAATACATCCATGTTTGGGAAGTGTTTGATCAATGTCTATGGTATAATCTCATTACTTAACCCTTGGAGGAAGAATGGTGTGCTTTATTGGATGAGTAAATGGAAGTCTCTGTTTCTATGCTGCAAATCTATTTAATTATCGCTTTTATAGATTAAGCATTTACAACATTATAGTATTGTACTAGTATAGTATGGTACCAGTATAGGCACAATATTACATTATTAAAAGAATGGGATCTTGTCTAAAAGCTTACAATTTAATAACCACACATTAAGGGGAGGAGGAAAAAAAAGGCGAGAATAAGGCTAATGAACAAGAACCTAATTTCAACCATTGACATTTTAACAAAATTCTGGCAATTAACCTGCACACACATGCATGAACACAAAACCTGATCGCAACGCTGGTCTACTTGGACAAGCAGTGTAATCTCAGAGTAATAATCCTATGCAAATTTGCAGCTCTGATAATTTACTTATGCAAACAGATCGCTCAAGTCAGTCATTTTAAAAAATACATTGTCTGCTGGTGTATGGGAAGAATCAACTCTCTTCCCATTGCCTTGATTAGGCAGGGGGGAGGGGGGGAAGAGCTTGGTCTTGTGGAACTCACGGCCACCAGATACAGCATCAAGGTCTCGCTCGGTGTATTCATGTGTGGAAGGGGAGAGGCCTGCTCACGGCTGTGGTGGAGCCTCCAGTGGCAGAAGCAGCATACCTCTGAGAGGGCGGATCCCGGGCAAGGATTAGTGAGAGGAGGGGCTGTTCTGTGGGGCGCCCGCTGGGCTGCTCTGGGCGACGGAGCGCTGGACTGTACAGACCTTTCAGAGGTCCTTGTTCTTTGCATTCCTCTGTGCAATGGTTCAGCTGTGGTGGCGGGAAAGAAGGGAGCCTCCTGGGCGATGAGCAGCTCGCCTCTGGATGGCCGGGGGGGAGGAGAGGGTGGGCGGGTGAGTGGGTATCCCAGGGAAGGAACTGCTGCTGAAGAGAAAACAACTTGGGCTGGCAATGCTACGACAGCCCCCCCCCCCCCCGGCTGACAGTAGCCTAGGAGAAAGGAGCAGCCATGTTATAGGCTTGCCAACCTAAGCCTGCTTTGGTGGGGAGGGTGAGGTATAAATTAAATAAACCTCCTGTTGGGGCCTGGATGTTTCCCAGAATTAACAGCTATTTTTGAGGCTACAGAAATCAGTAGGGGAGAGGCCATGGCTCACTAACAGAGCTGTGCTGACGCCCAGACTGAGACATGGTGAAAGGAGGGTGCAGCTTGCTGGACCTATTGTAATTTTTTGGGGGGGGCTTGGCACAATGCTGGAGGCAGCTGAGAGTCACCATGAAGGAGAAGAGCTGGTGAGTGAGTTTAAGAATGGGCTGTATGCATCCGGGGGAGGGGAGGAGCCATGCCTCAGTAGCACAGCATCTGCTTGGCATGCAGAAGGTCCCAGGTTCAATCCCCAGCAATGCTCCCTCTAAGCTATGGAGTCTTGTGAGTTACTGGCATTAAACTTGTGAGCGATTTGGCTACTGCATAAATTAGTTTGTTCTGCAGCCATCCTTCCTGAGTTAAGAAAAATGTGTGAGCCAGAGGTTAAAAAACTGTGAACTAGCTCACACTAACTCATCTTAGGGGGAACACTGATCCCCAGCATCTCCAGGTAAAATGACCAGGCAGTAGGTGACATGAGAGACCTCTGCCTTGAGACCCTGGAGAGTCACTGCCAGTCTGAGCACACAATACTGACCTTGATGGACAAATGGTCCGATTCAGTAAATGGTATCTTCATGTGCGCCCATGGGGAGATGGAGGATTTGGTTGTATGGGAACCTGGGAGGTGGCTGAGGCAGAGGAAAAGGAGGAGTTGGTTTTGTACCCCACCCTTCTCTACCCAAAGGAGTCTTGGAGCAGCTTACAATCACCTTCCCTTCCTCTCCCCACAACAGTCACCCAGTGAGGTAGGTGGGGCTGAGAGAGCTCTGGGAGAACTGTGACTGACCCAAGATCACCCAGCTGGCTTCATGTGGAAAAGTGGGGAATCGAACCTGGTTCTCCAGATTAGAGTCTGCTACTCTTAACCACTACATCAAGATGAAGAAGGATAAGTTTGCCTATGGCTGTCTTCGTGCAAAGGTGGAAGCTTGTGGGAAAGAGGTGTAGTGATGGTGTGAGTAGAGAGAAGCAGGGGGATTAAAGTTTTACAAAATTATGCATGAGATGGAGAAGGCAGAGAAAGAAGTACTTCTCCTTTTCTCACAATACAAGAACTCATGGGCTCTCCATGAAATTAAGGAGCAGTAATCTTAGAAGAGATCAAACAAAGTCCTTCTTCATCCAAAGAGTCATTCACACGCTCCTGTCCGGTTTTCGGTGCTTCAGCGATGGCCGCGTCTCTCTGCTCCTCCAAGAGACATGTGCCATGAATCAGGGATTAGGAGGGAGCACGATTGTGCGCACTCCCCCATGAAGCCCATAGGCAATGGGCTCCTAGCCAGGGGGCTTTGGAGAGCTCTACCTCCGGCCGACAGCCGGCACAGGGGGGCTACTCTCTGCCTCGAAGGTCCTGCCCTGATTCCCAGTATTGGGTTCGATGCGACCACCGGGACAAGCGTATGAAGGTTTGGCAATTCTAATCTGCCTAGCGAGATCCCTGTTGGATCGTTTTGAAGATGGATGAGTGAGTCTAAGTTAAAGCGAGACACTGGAGCTCTGTTGTGAAGCCCCCACAGACTAAAGCAGGAAGGGGGAGGGGACGCCCTACCCCCTCAAGCGATTGAATGAAGCGGGACTGGGGAGCTGAGCTAACAGTAGCAATGGATTACAGTAGAAGGACTGGATCAGAGAACTTTTCCAATATAAGCGTTTACAGACGTTTGAGACTTTGGCAACTTTAATCGGTAAATGTAAACAACCCTCCAAAATGGCAATTGAAGATTTTGAGGAAGGTGGGACCAAAGCTTCTCACAGGAAGAAGAAAAAGCATGTAGACTCTTCCAACAGCTTAAAATCATGTGCCATCTGCAGGCTAACGTGGGATGTTCGATGGGAACGGCTCTCTGCGTGGCGGTACTTTTAAAAGGGCAGTGTTTATATTAAGAAACGGTGAATCCTTGATTATAGACAAAATTGAGACCGTGATTAGCTTATAATGGATGGTGGCAAGCAGATTAGAAAGCGATTACAAAGGATTTACTACCGTTGTTCCATAAAGTCTGCATGCAAAGTGAATGACCGGTCTCTCTAACCAGAGTGTGTATGAAGCAACAAGAGAGTGAAAGTCCTGGAAAAAGGAAAGCGACACTAATAGGACAGAGCCTGTTTCATTAATGCTGTTTAAAAAAGAAGAATTAACAGAGAAGGAAGAGGATCAACTGATATGACTGTATGGACTGAGAGAATCTTGGCTCCACAATGTTGTGTTTGTGGGGAGGGAGGGAAAGCATAATGGGAGATCTTAATTAGCTTTGGAATTACTCTCTCTCTAGACAGACAAGCTGGATACTAATTGAAGCGATGATCAAGGAAACTCCTCAGGTCGGAAGTTAATTGTGAAGAGTGACAACTTTTTATTTTTATAAGCATATATAACCTTCTACACTTGGGCTTTTAGTGCCTTCTTTTCTGTCTCCCATAGTCTTAGTCTTCCCCTCCCTTTTTTCGTTATAGTTATGTAGTTGTTTTAGAAATGCAAATTAAAAAAAATCCCCTTTGGGGGGCAAAAAACAACAACAACAAAAAACAAAGAGTCATTCACACATGAAATTCACTGCCACAGGAAGTGGCAGCGGCTACAAGCTGAGACAGCTTCAAGAGAATTAGATAAATATATAGGGGAAAGCTCATCCCCTGCCACAAATTTGGTTCGTCTTTAAGGTGCTGTTGGTTTCTACTTGCTACAGAGACTAACATGGCTACCCATCTTGATATATTCACCACAAGGTACAGATGGAACACTCTGTCTGGGGCAGTGATGCTCTGTCTTCTTGGTGCTTGGGTGGCGCAAGAGTGGGAGGGCTTCTGGAGTTCTTGCCCTGCTGGTGGACCTCCTGATGGCCCCTGCGTTTTGGCCACTGTGTGACACAGAGTGTTGGGCTGGATGGGCCACTGGCCTGATCCAACATGGCTTCTCTCTTATGTTCTCTCTTATATATATTAATTTTAAAGACCAAGGACAACTTGAAACATCTTGCCTCAATGTATTCTGGAAATATAATAGCAAAAGTCATTTATCTCCCCAATACTTAGGAGTGTTCCCCTGTTAAAATTTGTAGATGTATGTATATAGAGACTGGACCCTACCTTCTGGTGAGCAGACTGCAGGAACATCCGAGAGGATAGCTAATGCTGCTGATACCAGTTTACTTCCATTCTCTGATAACAACTGAGGTTTTCCAGCTGTAATTCCAGGACTACCTGTTATTTTAGGGTTAAGCTGAGGCAACTGCCTAACAAGAATGCACACACACATCTCAAGCGTTGCAAAGACTAAGGACTTTCCAGGAATCAAGCCTCCTGTGTCTTTGCCTTCTCCAAACTCTGGCAATGTTTCCTTTTCTTCAGCTCCATCATCCACTAAAAAGGAAAGGGAAAACAAGAATATAAAGCAGTCAACCGTCTTTTTGTTAAATTTACTCCTTGAAGTTTTATAAACAACAGTTGGCTATATTTCTGTACATATGAACAAAATTAAATATAATCACCAACTCCACAACAATGATCCATGTATAGAAACAAGTCTGTCCACATATCCCTTCCTGCATGAAATACAGGAGAATGTACTGTGTAGGGGACAAACGTCTCAAACAATCTGATTAATTCTAGAAAATACACACTAAATAGCTATGCTAGTTATCACAAAGAAGGGTAAATGGCTTACCAACCATCATCCTATTGACCCCACTACCCCCCAAGAAAAGATAAACTCTATACGGCAGGAGAAATATGGAAATTAATATGGAGTGCAAATTCCAAATTATATTAATACAAGAAGGGGGACCCGCGATACTCGTGGGGGAGGGAAGCTCCACGGGAGAAGGAAGCAACCGCAGGTGAGCCTTCTCCCCTGTCCCCCGTCCCTGGCACCCACTGCGAGGCCCACGCCCCTCCAAGCTTCCCCCTTTCCCTAGCGGCGGCAGCGGCGGTGAGGCCTTGCTGGCCCGCCGAACTTTCTCCCTCCCTCCCCCCCAGTGGTGGCAGCGAGGCGTTGCCAGCCTGCCAAGCCTTCTCCCCCTTTCTCCCTCCCCCCCTCAGCAGCGGTGGCGGTGAGGTCTCGCTGGCCCACCAAACTTTCTCCCTCCCCCCCCGGGCGGCAGCGAGGGCTGAGCAGCTTACAGCCCTCGGCTGGCCAAGCCTTCTCCCCCTCCCCCTCTCTGGTGGTGGTGGCAGCGAAGCCTTTCTAAGAGCATCCCCTGCGCATGCGCAGGGGATGCTCTTTTCCTTTTTGGGGGATTTAATTATCCCCCCTATATTTTTTTACAGTTTTCAGATTTTTCTGCACACCTGGGCATTGCCCCATGTGCACAGAAAAATCTCCCTGCCCCCCAGGTGCCCCCGATGTGCGGATTTAGATAACTGCATGCAGGGGGCGCCTTGGGAATTAGATATATAGATAATGCCACTGGCAATGAGATCATCAGTTCATTTATTAACCACTTTCATACCAAATTTGGGCAATTTTATCATGTAAATTATACCTTCTGCACTTCTCCGTTTTTCCTTGACATGTTCCTGAGCTGCAAAAAGAATTTGCCAGACAACTTCTAGAGCAGCAAGTTGAATATCGGGGGATTCTCTGGTCACTATAAGTCGATGCAGAACATTCAGCAGCTCAACACTCAGCTCCTACAGAAACAGAAATGAGCAAGCCTTTTTCATTAACATATATCATGTTCCACTTCAACCTCATAGTACCCCTGCGAAGTCAAGTGATATTATTTTGCTTCCTGACTAAATAAGGAGCCCAAGTCTCCAACACTCCATTCACTATATACGTTTAAACTAAACAGCTTTCTAACTGTGGGTGCAACACACAAAACTGCTCAGCTGCTTAGGAACACACTGGCAAGTATCGATAATACTTTTCCATCACTGATTAGAAGATTCTGCACCAGACGCAGCCAGATAAGACAAATGTAGTTTGTTTTAAACCCCAAATAGGTGGTACACCAACAAATAACAGGATCTTACAATGTTTCTAAAATATGGCCTCAGGTTGTATTGATGGTCCCCAATAACAGTCTGAAAGCATATGACAAAACTCTGCTGATGATGCTGAATAAGTTTGGCCCATATCTTCAGAAATCACCTGCAGACATCAGTCTCCTGCTGTCTTAATCTGCAGTCCTAAACAGCCTGTAAAGCTGTAGGCACAGTGCCATAGTTTCTTATATCACAATGAAATCATCCAAATACATGTAACTGAATACATATCCCTCCCTGTGACTCTTAACTTCATCTTACTTCCTTCTCTCTATTTTAGACTGTAAGCTTCTCAGCGCTATTAAAGTGAGTATGGTTTCTATGCTGCGAAGTGTCACGAAACTGAGGTAAGTCAAGATGGGTAGCCGTGTTAGTCTGTAGCAGTAGAAGAGACAAGAGTCCAGTGGCACCTTAAAGATCAACAAAATTTGTGGCAGTGTATGTGTTTTCAGGAGTCACTGCTAACTTCTTCAGATACCTGAAGATATCTGAAGAAGTGAGCAGTGACTCACAAAAACTCACACCCTGCTACAAATTTTGTTAGTCTTTAAGGTGCTACTAGACTGTTGCTCTTTTCTACTGCTACAAATTTGAGGATATCAGATAAAATGGTAAACAAATTCCATGACAAAAAGCACTGCTTCTCGTGACACAGCCACCACAGCAGCTGTTTAACACAGAATAAACTGCCTTGTGTGTGGCTAAGCAGATGTTGTGTGCAGAATCTCTTTTCCAATATTCCTGGAAACAAACCACACAACTAGGACCAATCTGTGCAGTAAGCTAAAGCTTGAAGCACAGCTCACTATTTGTAACAGCTGCATCAAAGAAGTGATTTCAAATGGCCTCCACATTGTGGCTATGTAATCACACATCATGATGGAGATGGTGGCCAGTTGGACAAAAATTTATCATAACAGACCCATTATTGCCATAATACTTAGGTTTTCCAAATCAGATTTTTACCTGATCACCACCTATCTTGGACCTTGGCCAAGGAACATCAAGCAGCACTTGGAGAGCATGTAGACAAGCAGTAATATTTTCCATTGCAGCATCTGACCGAGGAGAACAGAGGAATTCCACACTAATTCCTATGGGAGATGTGGGACAGTGCCATTATTGTAAATATTAATTTTATGGATAAAGGTAAGAGGTAAATGATCCGCACAGCAATACCAATTGAGAAGTTACAACAGGGACTTCCGGTCTAAGCGTTTTGCTGCTCTGACACGTCCCGTCTCGCTCTGATGGGGACGCGCCAAGACCCGGCTGACGGGAGGGGTCTGAGTTCGTCCCGGACCTCCTTGGGGTCTTTGTAGCAGAACCCAAGCCTGGGGAGCTGAGGAGAGCCTCTTCCAAGGTGACGACCAAGGAATTGAGGCTCACCTTCTTCCCCTAAAGGTACCGTCGCCGCGGAGCCAACATGGCGCCCAGAGACGACTGCCGGAGCAAGCGACCATGATCAAACTTCTAAAAATGCTTCCAAAGATCTCCAAAGTTCCAAATCGTGAGTTAAGCAAAGCTCAGGTGAAAAAAGCGAACTGAACCTTGGTAGCAATTGGAAGCGCCTAAGTTTGAAGCGTTGGGGAGAGGAACTCAAACACCCCCCTTTTTTTCTTTGAGCAAACTTTAAAAATGGTTTTAAATCGAAAATAAAAGACTTTGCTAAAATAAGTGCATAAGCAGTTAAACGAATGCAAAAACTGCTAAAGTATACAAAGCGGGACTAAATTGTATAACTTTTGCCTTGTTTTGGAAAACTTACTTCTTGTTGATATCATTGCTGGGAGAGGACGGAGAGTGCCAGATAAAAAACTGGTGACCGGAAATAACATACCAATGACTCCTTCCCAGAACCAGGAAGTAACTACAGATTTCTCCGCACTGCTAGCAAATGCACTGCGCCCCCTAATGGAGCAGATGACTAATCTCAACACTAAGCTTGATAATGTCAAAAAACAGCTGAATCAAATGGATAAAAGAACCTCAGCAACTGAGAAAACATTGAAAAAGATGGAAAAACAGAGTATTAATAAAAGAGTAGATGAAGCAGAGAAGGAAAGATCCACTGATAAAATACAAATAACACAGCTTCAGCTGGATAGATCCATGTATGTTCTATGTTTTCATGGGATCCCCGAAGAGAAAAATGAGGACTTAAAAGAACTCTTGGCCCCATTAATGGATTACAAATAAGAAGATTTAATAAAAGAGATGGATGCGGCCTATAGGACTTATCTGGATTTTATAAAGAAAAATAAATTACCTGGGGAAATCTATCTGAAATTCACGAAACGATCTATCAGAGAACTGGTGCTAAAGTCAACAATGGGAAAATCCTTAAAAATCAAGAATGAAGTAAAAATTTTGAAAATCCCTTTCGAAGTTAGAAAACATAGGAAACGCTACAGGATGCTCACTCTCACTCTGCAAAAAAAGGGAATACCATATAGATGGTTATTCCCGGAAGGGCTGAGCTTCAATTTCCAGGGAAAAAAATATAAAATTGACTCTCTTCCAAAAGCGGAAAAATGTATGGACTAAGTGTTTAACACAAAAAAGAAGCAGAAGGAAAAGAACTTAAAACCGGATGGGGAGGAAGAAGAAGATGAATCCTACTCACAGGATTCAACAAGTCAAACCTCCACGTCATCAGAATAATCTGAATCGGAGAAAGGAGCGGCCACTCCGAAACTCCAGAAAACGAAGAAACGCAGGAAGAAAAGACTCTAGAACTAAGGCAATAGTATTAAGTGCAGAAATTGCGTTAAGCTACTAAAGATGTATTAATAATTGAATCAAATCTTAACATAACGTGTTATATTAGGTTAAAAACAATATTTCTATAACTTCTCAGATCGTGACATGTATTAGTCTTACCCATTCCCCAAATCCAGTAGATGGAATAGATCAGAATTGTAGTACTCCTTTCCCTATCCAGTAGATTTATGTATTAGATTTCCTATACCCATCACCCATAGTATTAGTGTTAGGGTATTAGTATCCCTTCCCCCATCCCATAATTGTAGTGTGTAGAACATGCAACAACAACAAAAATTTCCCTGCGGGGGGCCAAAAAAAAAGAAAAGAGAAGTTACAACAGGAATTCCTAGGGTTACCAACTTCAAAGTGGGTCCTGGGTTTTTCCTGGAATTACAATTTATCTATCTCCAGACTAGAGATGAGTTCCCCTGGAGGAATGGGGACCTCTGGAGCCTGGACTCTATGGTATCACATTTCTTCTTATCCTCCCTAGCCACCCCTCAACAATCCCCAGGAATTTCCCCAAGAAGAAGTTGGCAATTCTAGGAATTCCATATGCAAATAAAGTGACAGCAGTAGACTCTAAATTCCAGAACACCAGGATACAGTTTCGCTGCCATTGTGGCTTGACAGTCCTGCGCAAAGATTAAACATTTGGCTGATTCAATAATTCCATCATCATATTCTATAATAATCCCATACAATAGTGTGTGTGGTATGGTATATACTGCCATATACACAACAGCTCAGACCAAATTTACAGCACCTGGCAAAAATGACCTTTGAAATCAAGGAAAGTTCAGACACTAACCCAAGACAAGATGAAATCTGTCAGTATTCACATCCTCAGGTGATTTTACTGCAGCTCTGGATGTAGAATCTTGACACATAGTAGTTGGGGTTACAGGCCGCGAGAGATTAGTTAGACCCTCATCAGAATCACCTACAAGGAAACCTGTGCTGGTGAGCCACAATGCTGTAGCATGGAGAATCAGAGCCCAGGAGTTTTGATAGTGTGGCCTTGAATTTTCCATTGTCTCTGCAGTATAAAAAGCACCGCCTACAAGTAGAAAGCAATAAATATTTGGCATTTACCAAACAGCCTAAGAATACTAAGTACTTATTATTTATATCATGTGTGTTTGATAGTTAAATTGGATATTGGCTGTGACAAATTGGATATTGGCTGTGAGGCTTTTGCGAGCTATTTCATGGATGAAGTCTTGGCGCTCCGCCGCAACCTCCCCGCCACAGTTGAAACAGTGAGCGAACTCGAGGCCCCTTGCGCATCTTTGATTCTGGATTTGGATTGTTTTAGCCCACTCAGCCTGGAGGAAGTTGACAGATTGCTTGTATCTGCGTGCCCAACCACTTGCAGCCTTGATCCGTGCCCCTCCTGGCTCATTAAAGCAGGCCACGAGGGGTTTCGAGGTGCCCTGAGGGAGATTGTTAACAAGTCCCTTTCTGAGGGGCGGTTCCCTGGGGCACTCAAGGAAGTGATGGTCCGCCCCCTCCTGAAAAAACCATCACTGGACCCGACCGAATTGGCTAACTATTGGCCGGTGTCCAACTTGCCCTTTTTGAGCAAATTAATTGAGAGGGCGGTGGCAGTGCAGCTACAGAGCTTTCTGGATGACGCTTCCACTTTAGATCCCTTGCAGTCCGGTTTTCACCCGGGGCATGGGATGGAGACAGTGCTGGTTGCCCTTACTGACGACCTCCGGTAAGATCTGGATCGAGGTGGTATGGCAGTATTGCTGTTGTTAGATCTGTCGGCCACGTTTGATACGGTCGACCACCAGCTGCTGACCCACCGCCTTGCCGATGTGGGGATATGGGGGCTTGCCCTCCAATGGCTTGCCTCTATTCTCCAGGGTCGGGGACAAAGGGTGGCACTTGGGGAACAGCAGTCCCGAAGGCACCCGCTTGGATGCGGTGTGCCTCAGGGGGCGGTGCTTTCCCCGATGTTGTTTAACATCTACATGCACCCCATTGCCCAGATTGATTGGAGGTATGGGCTTGGGTGTCATCAATATGCAGATGACACCCAGCTCTATCTGATGGTGGGCGGCCGGTCGGACTCCAACCCAGAAGATCTAAACCGGGCACTACAAGCCATGGCTGGTTGGCTTAGACTGAGCCGGCTGAAACTAAACGCAGCGAAGACGGAGGTCCTGTGTCTGGGTGGTCGTGGAGTGGGGTTCCCTCTCCTGACCTTTGATGGGGCGCCTTTGATGCCAGCGTACATGGGGCTGCCTTTGTCGCAGATTCAGAAGCTGCAGTTAGTGCAGAATGCTGCGGCCAGGCTTCTGATGGGTCTCCCTAGATGGGACCACATCCGGCCTGTGCTGAAAGCGCTGCACTGGCTGCCAATAGCATTCTGAATCCGCTTCAAAGTGCTGGTACTTACCTTTAAAGCCCTATATGGCCAGGGTCTGATGTACCTGAGTGACTGCCTTTCCCCATACATACCCCAGAGAGCACTACGGTCGGGGACCCAACATCACCTTGTGATCCCAGGCCCCCGAGAGGCCAGGCTTGTGGCAACCAGGGCCAGAGCCTTTTCGGTGACGGCTCCTACCTGGTGGATTGAGCTCCCGGAGCAGATCAGGGCTCTGCAGGACCTCTCACAGTTCTGCAGGGCCTGCAAGATGAAGCTCTTCCACCAGGCTTTTAATTAGGAGCCGCCACTACCACCTCCACCAACTTCCATGAGGGACGGCCCAATATAAAACTTTTACAGTACCGCCATGGATCGGTGTTGCCGAAATGGGCTCTGGGTTAATATCCCCTGGGTTAATATTCTCAAGCCTCCATCTTGATTTAACAGAAGCAATAATACCACTGAGCACTTTATTAATGTTAATCTGATTGTTTTATTTTGATTTTAATATTTTATACTGGCACTTGGTGCCCTTGTTGTGAGCCGCCCTGAGCCCACTTGCGAGAGGGCAGGATAAAAATGTGAGAAATAAATAAATCTCTTAAGAGTCTGAAAAGTTACTCTTTACAAGTATTATTATTCGAAACGATGCAAAATCCAGTAATTTGTAATCTGAAAAGTATGTTCCAATTTATGAATCTGAAAAAAAGCAGCATTATATGCTGCCATGATGCTACATTTCAGTTTGAGAAAATTCTGTGCTTGTGTCCTAGAAAGTGTCTGACACTGTGTGTTTCTACCAGCTGCCTTTCTGGTGAAACTTTATAGTTCTGTTTGTTTTCTTACCTTCAGCAGGTAGCTGAGAGACATATTCTGGTGGCAAAGTTAAGAGAGCAAAATCCTGGAGGGCAGCCAGCCAGAGTTTGCTCAAATTCCCCAGATCTGCTTGGACTAGCTCTAAGAGTTCATCTGCTGAAGGTGCATGACCTCTAGAGCTGTTGTCTGTGGTGTTTATGACCAAAGGAGACCTCTTGATGTCACTTTGTTTCTTCTGTCTTTGAACTGCAGCAATGTATACCTATTAAAAGAGCAAATACACAAGAAAATCTTATTGATAGGACATTGGAGCAGAATTTGAGAAAATCAGGTAAGGTGCAAGCTATAACTCTCAACTCCACAAAAAGCATAAAGGCAGAATTTCTTCAGATCCTGGTGAGTTTCATTATTTAGATTACGTTCATATCTATATGTGCCCCAAAAGTAGTATGTAGTTTTGCCCAGACTGAGGCAGCTTGTGCCTGTAATTGAGAGGCAAAACAGGTAAAAAAGAAAGGGAGCCAATGTCAGAGAGAAGAAGGCAAGGAAACAGTCAGACCAGTGATCACTCAGAGCTGGGATGTAGCCCTCTAACCACAAACCACCACCCTCTGTAGTACAAATGATCCCTTTATGTGCTTTACTTACCTACTTGTAAAGAAGACTGTAACTCCCTGACAGTGTTCCCTCTAAGCTGAGTTAGTGTGAGCTAGCTCACAGTTTTTTAGCCTCCAGCTCACACATTTTTGTCTTAGCTCAGGAAGTATGGCTCCAGAGCAAACTAATTTATGCACCAGCCAGATTGCTCGCTCACAACTTTAATGCCAGTAGCTCACAAAGTAGAATTTTTGCTGACAAAACTCCACCGCTTAGAGGGAGCATTGCTCCCTGGGTACATAAGATATAAATACTGATATCCGATAAAACCACCACAATAACATGTTTTTATAACTTCAATTTTACACCAAATGATGGAGATCTCAATAATTATCATCCAGTCTCAAATGTTCTGTTCTTGAGCCCGTTTGCCACGTTGACGCCCACTGGCCCACTCTCGACAGAGGAGGAGTCACAGAGAAGCTCCCAGGCAAGGCTGGACAACACCAAGCTTTCTTGGATAAGGCAAACTGTTTAGATCCCTTTTCCAGTCTGAGTTTAGGCCTAGTTATGGGACTGAAACAGCCTTGGACACCCTGGTGGATTACTTGTGCCAGGAGATGGAGAGGGAGTGCAACTCTGTTGATTCTCCTGGACCTCTCAGGAGTTTTTGATATCATCAATCATAGCATCCCTCTGGACTGCCTATCTGGGATGGGATTGGGAAGTACTGTTCTGCAATGGTTCTGGTCCTACCTAGAGGGTTGGTTTCAGAAGGTAGTGCTGGGGGACTGCTGCTTACCCCCTTGGCCTTTGGCCTATGGGGTTCCACAAGGTTCCACCTTGTTCCCTATGTGCTTTAACATTTACATGAAAGCACTGGGTGAAATTATTGGGAGATTTGGGCTAGACTGTCAGCAATACGTGGATGACACTCAGCTCAATCCAGTGGATCCCAGGGAGGCTGTAGAAACTGTGAAGCAGAGCCTGGAGGCAGTTTTGGAGTGGTGTATTAAAAGTACATTAAAAAGTACCTCTGACCAAGCTTTTAAAACAGCGAGTATCTCCATAGTTGAAGTCCCTTCATTGTACAGTTGATTTTGTGCTTCTTTTCCAATCTGTATTTTGTTCAAGGACATTACAAGTAATTGATGAACCCTCTGAAGGTCATTAAGGTCACTTACTACACCACTTGCTATCCAGGCACTGCAAACCTAGTGTGAAAACAACAAAGAACAATGTTACTTTTGAAATGCTGCAAGCTGTATTTCCAGGGAAGGAAGACAGACAAAAATATTATTGGTATTTAATAACACAGCAAAAAAAGGGTGATAATGATATTAAGAACATAGAAGCATGCTTGGGCACCCAGACATCTCCCTCTCAGTAATCAGATGATTTCTAATAGTCAGCTTGAAAGTATGGTACTTCCAAATACTAATTTTATAGACAACATAAATAAATCCCTCTTTGTTCTACCAACTTTTACTCTGGGTTGCTCAAGACTCCATGGAGTTTACATGCCAAAGGATTTATAACCTGCCTGACATGCTTTTGCTGTTACATCAGGAGGCGTTTCTGGAGCAAAAGCTGGTCTTAGTGCAGCACCAACCTGAAGAGGGGGAAAAAGAGAGGCTTTTATCACTACAAAAATTTCTATCAGAATAACTAAATAATTATTCTTTAGAAACGTATAAAATCTACCAGTATCCCAGCCTTGAGAGAAGAAAGGTTAGATACCATGCATCAGCTAACAACAATTCACATTTTTGCTGCTACAAAATCACCACTAGAGAAGAATGACGGGACCAATCTGTCTCTGGGGAGAATCACTTGTCCCATTCTGTTGCCATCTTTCACCAGTAGCTGAAGACATTATTTGTTTTGTTCCCCCAGTGATTCCTCCTTACTGCCTTATGTTTTAAACTGTTGCTTTTATATTTTTGTATGTGTGTTTTAGCTTTGGTTTTAATTGTTTTAATAATGTGTTTTTGTTGGTTTAATGGTTTTTAAGCTGTGATTTTATTATGTTTTTTAAGCTCCTAACCATCTTGGTGGCCCCGATGTGGGAAGAAAGACAGGGTATACATCTTGTAAAGCAGCTGCAGAGCAACTCCAGGCCTTGATAAATCATCTACTCTAGACCCCTTTCACAGAGTTGGTGCTTGTAACCCTAATGGACAACCTCCATCTAAATGCAGACAAAGGTGATTCCTCTCTGTTGCTCTTACTAGACTTATCAGTAGAAGTCAAGACTAAGGAATGTTCTTTGGATTGGTTAAAATTATCCTTATGGCAGGAGTCAAAAGGTTGGGGATAAGGTTTCTATGGTGTAGGACTTGCCTTGCGCCATTCCACAAGGCTCAGTCTTGTCCCCCATGCTGTTCAATCTGTATGTAAAGCCCTTAGGAGAAACAGTTAGTGGTTTTGGAACAGAATATCATCAATATGCTGACAATATCCAGCTCTATATTTCTATATCCGAATTACCTAATGATGCAGTGGAAACTCTGAAATCAACATCTGACACCTAAAGTTAAATGGCTACAGGTAAACAAGGTGAAACTGAATTCTGACAAGATGGAGGTAATGTCAGTTGAGAAGGCTGACATCATGAAGGACATGATGTTCTCCACTTTTGATGGGGTCCAGCTGACTTGGTTAAAAACCTAGGGATGATATTTAATTCAGCTTTAGTGCTGGAGAAGCCAATTTCACCTAGTCTGGAAGATAGCCCCCTATCTTGATTCTGCTGACCTGGCCATAAGGGAACCATGCTGTGATTTTTGAGGCTAGACTACTATAATGAGTACATGAGTCTGCTCCTAAGACAACTCTGAAACAACAGTTGATACAGAATGCCACACTCTGGCTACAATACGGTACCAAATGGAATCTGCATATCACTCCCTTTCTGCAAACACTCCCATCAGTTACTAATCTGTTACTGGGTTCAATTCAATATGCTAGCTATCATCTACAAAGCCACATACCCACAGAACTGCCTCATACTAAGTTATGCTGCGACAGCTCTTCTGAAGGTGCCACTAGGGATGTGCACTCAGATATATCTGGTCTGAATATATACCCAAAAAATACATTCTTGGTAATTTTGGGACATATTTGGCATCCGGATCAATATTCAGGATTCTGTATTATACCAATATCCCAATCCTGAATATTTCCAGGAATATTCAGAAATATCTAGAACCAGCATTGTACAGCTCCAAACCTGGGGGCAGGGTGCTTCTGTCAGGCTTCGAGGCAACAGGAGGGAAAGGGAACACGCTCACAGACAAACAGAATTGCACATTAAGGGAGCTTGCCAGGTCAATTCTGTTGGGATTTGCTGGTTTGACATTGGTTATGTTAGCCTTGTGCTGCCACATTGGCCCTGGTTTGTGCTTGGCTCCTTTGATTTGCAACTGATTCTGTCCAGCAGGACTCCCTTCCATTGTTTCAGTTGGTTTGGCTTCAGTTCTCTGGTTTGACACTGGATGTGTTGAGCTGGCCATATTGGTCTGTGGTTCTGCTGGGATTCTCTGGTTTGACGCTGGTTTTGTTGGGCTTGTTGATTCTGTTTCCATTGAGAGGCTTTTGGCCAGGGGGTGCTTGCTCTTGTGTGTTTGTCTATTCTTTGCCCGGGAGAAAGCATGGAATTATTATCCCCTGATGGGGGCACCTTGTTCAGGGGGCCAACAGAACTGAACCCCTTTGTCCAATTCACTTGAAACTAGGGGGTTCTTTAGTGGATAGGCAGCATCAACTCTGTTTCAATTTGGTGTCATTTTCTTTAAAAACAACCACTCCAGCTCCCCCCCCCCCGAAAGATTCGCCATAGGGAAAAATGGACCCAAATAATTCTGAAAACACACACACATCTGAATACTGAACCAGTATTGGAGACCCAAGTAATCTGGAAAACCAATAATCATGACCTCTCTGAAATCCAGATCTAAAAAATACCTTTTTCTGGTACACATCCCTAGGTACCACCCTGTGAACACAAAAAATTCAGATCTAAAAAATACCTTTTTCTGGCACACATCCCTAGGTACCACCCTGTGAACACATAAAATTGGCAACTGCCTGTTCATGCACATTCCCTATGGTGGGTCCTGCATTATGGAATGATCTGCCTGAAGTTATCAGGAAGCCCCCACATTTCTATCATTTCACAAAATGTGAGAAACAGAATTGTTCAAGAGAGTTTTCCTGTACAAGGAGCAAAGTTGAAGTGTAATGGTTTGGTTCAGAAAATGACTTATTAGGGATAAAGTCATTCCTACACTTGTTGTCTTATTGCCTTAAATAGATATATTTGCATGCATTATTTGCGTTTTTACCTGTTCTACAATCCCAGCCCAAATGAAATCTCTGTCTTATTAGGCATCTTTCCAAAATACAGTAACATTTGAATATAACAGCAATCTGCTTACTGATGGACTGAAATTTTTTAGTATAATCTGCCTTGGGTCTTAATGAGGAAGGAGAACTATAAATGAAAATAAAAAAAATAATTTCTAAAATTATGTGAACTCTTACTGATTTAATTGTATGGGATCCTGTCAGGGGTTGTAGATTTCCATCCATAGAGCATATCTTTCTTGCCATACCCCCTCCTGCTGAAGCCCAAAATGCCCCCTGAAATGCTGCTTCTAGGGGATGGGGTACCCCCCAAAACAGCATGAGCAGGGAATTGGAGAGTCACCCTCCACCTTCGCACAAATCCATACAGATTTCTTTCTTTCTTTGTTAATAACACAGTTTCAGTAAACTCTGTTCCGTTTCCGTTCAGCCTGTGCAGAATACAACACTAATCACACCTTATTTTATAATAATGCTTAAATTTAAGGTGGGGGAAGGATAAAAATTGATGAAAAAATGCCCCCCCCCCTCAAGCCTTGAGAATGAAAAAGCCACTTACGTTTGCTTGATATTGCTCCAGAATTACATGACCAGGAAACTCTGGCTCTGGTACAGCTGCAAACTTTCGAACAAGAATTAGCAGCATCTGAAGGCCAGAAAGACGAAGCCGGTCACTGTGATCAGTGGCAGCCATAAAAGCCATGCGGATCAAGTCTGCTAAATGCAACACTAGAAAATCATCTGAGGATGAAACCAAAAAGAATTATATAAGAAAATATTTCTTCATATAAGTAACATATTATTATTTTTGTCTTAGTAGTACGGGCTGCTGAAAGCTTCAAGCCCATTTCTCCCCTCTTCTTTATCTTCCTCAGAAGCATGCACCTATACATACATGAGGGCTACATTAGGCTATAAACTGCTGATATAAAAATCACTGGCAACAAGCACAGGTTGTCATCATACTCAATTTCCTTTCAGCTTGCATGTTGTGTTACAGCATGTGCAAAAGTTGCTGTGTTAATACTGAAAATCCTTACCATGTATTTAATTAAGCCAGTATTTGTCAGAATGCATTTTAGTTGCACTTTGAACTGCATGATTTTCCAGTTGTTAGCACATACCTCTTGAATCCCTTTGCTTCATTTCTTGTGCCAACGCTATGTCAAAGTGAACATCGCCCGCATTCTCACATTGGCTGATTATTTTACAAACACATTCTGCGGCAAAAACTCTAGTAGACCATCGTGGATGGGGGAATGGGTGTGATTTTTCATCATTTTCCAAGGCGAATACTAAGTCGTCATCTCCTTGAGCTCCTTCTTCTTCTTGGGTGGTATCCACTGAAGCCACAGTTGTGAAATCTACATTAAAACACAAAAGGGAGACCAACTGCTTACTGAGTGGTGTAACTTGTATTTCTGATCAGGGTGGTTCCAGAGGTTAGCATAACTTAATTTGATTTCTGTCTATCAAAAGCTCAGGGTGAATAACTAAGCATCAGAGAGAAGCAGCAATGCACAGGGAGACAGGGGCAGGGTGAAAGACTGGGGAGTAGAGGACTTTCCTTCCTCTCTTTGCAAGTTTTGATTTGCCATTTAGGTTTCTTTTAAAAGCACCTAAAGCCATAAGGATTTCTGACAATACCACAGCTGACTTTGCCACCAAACTGTGTCATTTAGTTCTCACCATAACCACTTCAAATTTGATGACAACTTGTTCCTTCAGATCAAAGGTACAGCCATGGGCACATGCATGGCCCCACAGTATGCTACCATCTTTATGGCCAACTTGGAGCCACGCTTCCTAAATTCCCACCCACTCCCACCTCTCTTATACCTGTGATACACTGATGATATTTTTATTGCCTGGACACATGGTAAAGAAGCCCTGGACATATTCCATCAGGCACTCAACAACTTTCAACCCACCATCAACCTGACAATGAAACAATCTATGCAAGAAATACATTTTCTAGACTCTACGGTAAAAAAACACAATGGATACATAGACACCACCTTATACCGGAAACCTGCTGACTGACAAACATACCTACATGCCTCCAGCTACCATTCTAAACATGCCAAATGATCCATTGTATACAGTCAGGCTCCACGCTATAGCCGCATCTGCTCCAAACCGACAGACAGAGATTCTCACTTGAGGGATCTACAACAAAACGTCTTGGAACTAAAGTATCCACCTGATGAAGTCAAGAACAAATCAACAAAGCCAGAATGGTACCAAGAGGAAAACTGTTGCAAGACTGGCCCCAAAGAGACAATAACAGAAAAGCGCTAGTGATCACATACAGCTCTCAACTCAAAACAATTCAATGCATCATTTCTGACTTACAACCTCTACTGGATAATGACAGTTCACTTTCACGAATACTGGGGGGCAAACCTTTTCTTGCACACCAGACTGCCCCCCAATCTCAAACAACTCCTCACTCAAAATAATGCAACATCTAACTTGAACATGGATTCAAGGTACCAGAGCTTGCAATAAACCCAGATGACAACTTTGCTGCCACATACACCCAGACAACACAATCACTGGACCTAACAACTTCAACTAAACCATCTCAGGCTTATTCACTTGCTCATCTTCTAACACTGTATATGCCATTAAATGACAACAGTGCCCTTCGGTTCTCTACATAGGGCAAACAAATCAAATCCTATGCCAAAGGATAAATGGACCCAAATCTGACATCAAGAATCACAAAACTGAGAAATCTGTAGGAGAATATTTCAACCTCCCAGGGCACTCAATGGGGGACCTCAAAGTAGCTGTTTTATTGCAAAAGGAATTCCAGAAACAGACTGGAACGAAAGACTGCTGAATTACAAGTTATTACAACACTTAGGATAATGGAACCCCCAAGGCTTAACAGAGATATCAGCTTCTTATCTCACTAGATATGCTAAGTCACTCAGTTCTCGCTTATACTCAGAATTAAACTTTGTTGGTCTTAAAGGTACCACTGGACTCCAATTTAGTTCTTACATCTATTGTTAACTCTTTTATCATCTGTATGCCAATTTGCTGCTATGCAGAGGTCTTACCAAATTTGTTATTCCAGTCTTAGCTTATTTATTGCTCAGTTGACTTGACTCTAATTAGTCCTTCCTAGCAACTACCCCCTCTACCTATATGTAACATTTGAGGAAATATGTTCCAATGTATCTAAGAAGTGTGTGTCTACATATGCTAAGTCTATCAGTTCTTGCTTATATCCAGAATTGAACTTTGTTGCTCTTGAAGGTGCCACTCCTGTATCTGTATGCTAATTTACTGCTATTCACAGATCTTACCAACTGCTTTAATCCAATCTCAGCTATAATCACCCAGTTACTTATACATCTTGACTCTAACTAGCCCTTCCTGGCAACTAACCCCAACACCTATATGTAATGGCTGAGGACATCTTGTTTCACTGTATATGAAGAAGTGTGCATGCACACGAAAGCTTATACCTTGAATAAAACTTTGTTGGTCTTAAAGGTGCCACTGGACTCAAACTTTGTAAAGCCTAGGTGTTAGACATGAATAAAAACACATATTTTCACAGGCAAATGCTCTACATAAAATGGGGAGAGGAAAAGGAAAGCTTTACACTTGGTAGATGAAGTTACAGGAAAGAAATCTATATAATAAAGCTTTACCATCCAAGCAGTGTAGCTGAGAGGAGACACTGCCTCAGTGGTCATGGTTCAGTTCTCAGGGAACTGGTTCCAAGTGTCTGCTCCATCAAAGCTAGAGACTATTCATAATCAATTTAGTTTTACCTCACGAGAGCTGGCCTTTGATGACCTAAAATGCGGTTCTCACTCTCCTTCTCTTGCTTTAGTATTTCCCCCATGAACTTTCTACTTGGTACAGTGCTTCTCAACTGTCCAGGTGTTATGTATTGGGACTGAAACATCCCAGGACTGTTCTACCAGAGACGGGCTGAGCTTGGAGCCCAAGAACAATAGCCTACCAGGACTCTGGAAGTAACCAATAAAGTAGTGATGTTATGTAAATAGCCTATCATTGGGAGTGGGGTGTGTTTGGGTGTGGCAATGGCATGCTATTTAACAGAGCTGCGGCTCTGGGGTCTTGTCTTGCTCTTGCTGAATCACAAATAAAGTTGAGCTGATCACTAGACTCGAGCCTGCTCAGCCATGGAACCCACTATTTAACACCAGGGAAAGTGTTAACTTAGAGGTTGGTTTGTGCAGCAGGAGGGGGATGTTGCCTTAGGAAAGAAGTCCACACACAGGGTATGTTACTTTAGGAAAGAAATAAAGTCCTTTATCGTGCACCTTGGTGTTTAGTCATGCCGGCCACATGACCATGGAAACGTCTTCGGACAGCGCTGGCTCTTCGGCTTTGAAACGGAGATAAGCACCGCAACCCTAGAGTCGGACTCGACTGGCTTTCGAGCAAGGGAACCTTTACTTTACTATTGTGAAGGAACTGCACACCTGGATAGTAAAGGTAGAGAAAGGATTCTAGCTATCTGTCTAGGAAACGATGGAGATAGCACCATATTGCCCTCATGGCATTTAGAAAGAGAACTAGAAAGAGAAGGAGTTAGCTGGAAGCAAAGTCACATCTTTGATTGGGACCCAGAGAACTAATTTTGATTTTATAAAATATAACTCTTCCTCCTTGCTGTAACACAAACTTCCCCCCATCTCCCCTTCCCCTGCAAAAACAGTTTTCTATATGGCCAGTGTGGTGTATTGAGAGCTTCGAGCGAACACTCATTGTTCGAGAGGCTCCTAGCTGCTACATTTGGATTGTAGCCCTTCCTGAGCCGGCCAATCAGGGAACATCCGCATGAAGCATCTTGTGCAATTAAGGGTCCCTAAGTGCCTATGGCAACTGCTCCCGAGGCCCCGACAGCACCTGATGTGCAGAAGACAGTTTTGCAGCAGGTTCCAAACAAACCTGCGACTCAACTGTCGGAGACGAGCGGCGCTAGGGTAAGCCTTCCTGTCCCCAGGCGCAGAGACTCCCGTGGCACCAGCAGCCTTGCGGCTGGCTACACTGGACTGTAGCTTGCCAGCACCAAGCAGTGAACTGAGACGTTCTCAGCATATGCAGGCACCACCCTGCCGCCAAGCAGTGAACTGAGACGTTCTCAGCAGGACCTGCAGGACTATGTTTGCAATTGGGTGCAACCCTATCTTGGGGGGAGGGGTGTTGTGTATTGAGAGCTTCGAGCAAACACTCACTGTTTGAGAGGCTCCTAGCTCCTACATTTGGATTGGCTGCCCTTGCCAAGCCAGCCAATCAGGGAAAATCCACGTGAAGCATGCTGTGCAATTAAGGGTCCCTAAGTGACTAATTGCCTATTGGTGTGTTTGTATTTTGGGGATGTGTTTTGGGCTATGGGTTTTTGTATAAAGTTGCTGCTCATCGTGTGTGTGTTGTTGTTAAGTTCTTAATAAAGAAGCTATGCTGAAACCATGCTAGTCTTGTGAACCCACTATTTAACAACCTGTGGATGCAGGTGCACATAATAACAAATCCATATTTTATATGGCAGACATATTTGATGATACATGGTTGTTTCTCCAGAACTAACATGTCATGTGTAGATAACACACATGTGTGTATTTCTGTTTAAATACTTCTGCACACGTCTGTAGATTCTGGTCAAAACTATATAGTGGTCAAACAGGGGTTATAATGCCTGTGATGTTCTACCAATGCTTCTTGTTTCAGCAAAAAAGTTAAAATAACATGATTGAAGGAGGAAACAGTTAATTTATAGTAGAAACACTGGGAAACATTAGTCTCCTCTACAAGTAATCAGCACATGTGGGATAGGCAGGGAGATAATGGTTGCAATGGTTGGTCCATTGTTATTTTTGAAGCCCAAGCTACTGTTCATAATAGTCGTAAAAGCTGCTGGTGCAAACATCATCACAAATTCATAACTGAACAAAGATTGTCTGTGAATGGTACTAACACAAGGCTCAGGGCTGGCTCACCCGCTAGGCGAACTAGGCATTCGCCTAGAGCGCTGGGCCCTGGATGGGGCGGGTGGCAGGCTCTGGATGGGGCGCTGAAGTTTGCCTCCCCCAAAAAAGCCCGCACGCCGCCTAAGTGCGCCGCCGAAGTTCGCCTCCCCCCTGCTCTGCTGCCGAAGGAGCTGCATCCCCAGCCAGCCCCGCGTCCTCGAGCCCTGGGTGGGGCGCTGAACTGTGTCTCCCCCCATAATCCTCCATGCCCTCCGTCCGGGGTGGGGGGAAGGAAAGGGGAGGGGACGAGCCCAAAGACGATACTGGCCTGGGCACCCTCTGTCCTCCTCTCCGTCCCTCCCACTGGCTGCAAAGCCGTTAGAGCTGCCTGTACAAACTCTGTGCTTTCACCCCATCCGCAAAGCCACTTCTTACAGTGTAGCCCTGAAGCTGGAAACCAACCCCGGATTTCAGCGTGTTGCTCTTCTTCCTGCACCACCTCAACAAGCACAGCACAGGCGAGGTTGCCATCGCCGTTCTGGCTTTCCCTTGGCAATTCCTTGGTCTTCCCCCTCCCCTCGTCCCGTCCCTTCAGCTGGAGAAAGTAACCCTCAGATTTGCAGGAGAAAGCCAAAGACAGGTTTTCGTGTTGTTGTTTTTTTAAAGACCTCCAAGAGTTTCATACAATCCGTTGTACAGTGGTCGCCAGCCACTAGTCTCTGAGGTGCAGGCAGAGGGCGCCTTTCGCCATGCCCGGGCGCTGCCGCTGCTCCGGTCCATGTCCTGAAGAGGCTCCCAGGCCCCTGCCGCTGCCGCCACCCCTTCTGCCAGGCACCCAGGCACCCTCCCAACCTGAGAGACCCTGAGCAAACTTTGGGGCGCCACTGACAGCCGGGCGAGTGGAGGGGGTGGGAGGCGGGCTCGGGGGCCAGTTCCTGCCTCTCAGTGGCCGGGGCTTTGTGGAAGCCCCACAGTGGCGCCCACCCACCACCCCGCCGCAGCCCTCTCTGCACAATGCACTGGCCGGGAGTCCTCTTGCTGGGCTGCTGGCTGGGGCTGCAATGCTGCTGCTGCAGGGAGCTCGCCAGCCAGCCAGCCACCACCTCCGCCGCCTATGAGTCCGGGCAGAGCTACCACGAGAAGGACCCTGAGCTGGGGAGGCAAAGGTAAGTGAGCGCCCCGGCTGGTCTCCAGGCCACACCGGGAGGTTGGCATCCACAAGGGGGGACCACAAGGCAGCCTTGCCTAGGGTGCAGAAACACCTCGAGCCGGCCCTGACAAGGCTGGATCTTAACATTTCCGTAGACAAAAACGCTTCTACTTCACAGAGTGTGACTTCCCATTCCCCCTCTTGCAGGCAGGAACCCAGAAAGCCAGCTGAAATCCTGTTCTTGAGAGAGGAGGCATGAGAAGTGAATGCAGACACCTTGAAAAACTGGAATTCATTTACCCCTGGGAGCTGGTGTTCTAAAATGTGGTTAAAACCTAGTTTAGAGTCCTAGTTTATGGGACAGAAACAAACAATGACCATGGACTCACCTGGGGTTGTTTAGAGGCTACAGGGTGAGGAGCTGGGCCAGGAAAGGACTGCTCCACTCTCCAGCTACGTCACTGGCTGGGGGCCTCATCACAGCTGCAAGGAGCCTTCTGGAAGCGGCCCAACAGCATTCCTAGCTAGTTAGCCAATTGCCAGCAGCCTGGGATAGCCAAGGTGGGGCTGGAGCAGATCTGAAGAATGGAATCTTCCTTCTGGTCCTCTCCTCCCCTTTATCAGGCCACACTGCCCTGGTCCACCACTCAGTCAGCTTCAGTCATCCCCCCCCTTTGGTTGTATGCTGCTTTGTGCAGTGGTTACCTTGTTGCACTATTTCTTGTCACAGCTTTAGGGTGGTTTCAGGCATTGGGCAGGATCCATTTGGGGGTAGACTGCACCTGTGCCTACCTCCCCCAGGTGGGGACCCCCTTAAGCAGCACTGGAAGTTAAACCCTGCAGTGGCACACCCAACTTGGGGGCTGTTGCCTAACTCTACTCCCAAGTGACAAGGGAACCACACAGAGGCTTGCACTCATGTGGACCGATTTACTTGCCATTCCAGGTTTACCCCCAGCACGTGTGCACCATCGGTCGACCAGCAGGTTGCCCAATGCCTGGATCCATGGTGCATACTGTGCCAATGCTCCATCAGCTGTAATCAATAAAGCTGTGGCCTGTTTTTACTCGCCTCAGTCTCTGTTTGCATTTGTGTCCCCTTTCCCATCCAAATTTCAGTTTTCCAAGGCACCTGCACATTGCGCCTCGGCGTTTAGTCATGCTGGGCACATGACCATGGAAACATCTTTGGACAATGCTGGCTCTTCGGCTTGGAAACGGAGATGAGCACCGCCCCCTAGAGTCAGATTCGACTAGCTTTCAAGCAAGGGAAACCTTTACCTTAAGGCACCTGCACATTGTGATATCACTGCAAACTAGAGCTTGATTAAACAGGAAAGTGTTCAATGAAGTTCTGTATGATAGAGAAGAAAAGCAGGACTAGGAGAAAGGGGACTGTGTTTGAAAGATATATTGAAAGATATATACTACATCTCTTGTTTCCAGGAAGAAGATATTAACTCTTACCAGTAGAGGCAGCTAGAACATCTTTGCACAGCTTCAACCAGAAAGAGAGTTTTTCAACAGCCATGGTTGTGAGCATATGGATCAAAGTTCCTCTGATATCTTGGCACAGTTTGGGATCCAGTTCTTTGTCCAGTAAAATCAGCAATGCTCCTTCAAGTCCTACTTCTCTGATGTTAATGTCTGTTACAAAGAGAGAAAGAGACGTCTGTCCAAGCTTAGAAGAATGGGAAAACAAATTTGCTGATTATGCAGTAATGGCAAAATTAACAACTTATTTGAGCAGCAGATCCATCTTGAAATTTGAGGAGAGATGGGAGTGTCTACTATGCAGGCAGGAGATAAATTTAGAATGAGAAACAGTTTAGAAATGGTCTGTAAATACATTGTAAGGCATATACATGCAGTATAACGCAGAAAAAGGAGAACAAGTTTTGAATATAAATGTATTAAGAAGTGGATTTTGAACAAAATATTGTTTATTTCTTATTTTTATTGTGAGATAGTAAATAGATTTTCCTTCAACTTTGGTATATTAAAAGTTATAGCTAGTATGAGTAATGATGAAATATGTAATAAAGAATATGTATTAATGATGAAATTATTGTACAAAATGTCTTTAAAATTCTAATGTAGGGGATGTCGGTGAGAAGTATTCCTTATTTCTTTGTTTAATATATCCATAAACAAACAAATAAAATGTCCATCTGAAACTTGAAAATCTTTTCCATGGAACTTGCCCACTGGATATTACAGAAGCAGAAGGCATTACTTTCTCTGCTTTTGTCAATATATGCTAGCAAAGGCACAGAAAGTCGCTTTGTGATTTGCTGGATTCACGTGAGAAATTCTAGTGGACAAAAGGGCTAATGTAAGTGTTGTAAGGATTCTCATAGTGAGTAATCATAATACTTACATCCTACTTTTCCTTTTAGAAAGCTCAGAGAGGCTTCCAGGTAGTCTGACCATGGTTTCAATATTGGTGCTCCCAGACTATCACTCAGTCCAGTCTAGACTAGCGTAACTTGAAAGCCAACTGAACATAGATGGCTTTCTATTCATACCAGATGTTGGAAAGTGATGTCCTAACAAAGATTCTTCAACAATAACTGTACTCCTCATTCCAAAGCTTATCTTATTCTGCGCACCATATTTGTCCCATTTCAGACTGCAGTTAATGTGCTCTCCCATAAAATATATCTCTCGACACATTCAAAGTTTAGTGCTGTGAGGGAGAAGACCAGGCTAGAACCTTTTCCTTGGTAGTTTTGTATGCAGAGGGAAGGGATTTGTGGTGTGGTTCAGCATTCAAGCATTAAATTTTCCATCTGCACTCTGAAGTCATACCATCTAGGAACAGTTCTACTGCATTATGTTTATCTAAACTGGGCCTTAAACATTCTTGCATGAGACTTTTAGAAACACGACTGACTTGTGGAAAACTCCCGTATTTTCAAATTGTAATATATAAAATGTACAGTACGTAAGTGCCTAAAGGATTTTATCTGATAAGTTTAAAACTTGCACAACATGCAAAGTGTAATCTAAAAGGAGAAGGAAAATGAGATAATTTTTCTACATTGGTCAAGCTCTGTAGTTTTACCTGGATTAAAGTCTTCTCTGTTGTCTTTAGCAAGGGAAACAGCATGCTCAGATACTTCGGCTGCCTCTCTCTGCACAAGCTGCCGCAAACAAGCTAGGACTGCTCGCCTCAACAACAGATATGAACTAGAGAGATTCACCTGAAATAGACAAAAGAGATGAGCCTTTGTAGATATTTTCTGTGAAATGCAGAAATTGGATGCTTCCTGAGCAATTTTGTTTTTGAGACAAAATGGGAAGTCAGATGTTAGAAAACAAAAAGCCGAAAGTCGGGAAGAAAAATTCCAACATTAGTGATTTGTGAGCCCTCCCCAAAACCCCTCAAAACACAGAACTGTTGACTGAAATTCCACTGTCAATAAAAAATGTTAACTGTGGAGACAGTGGGTTTATCCACAGAGGTTGTTTTTGTCAGTTCTGGCCCCAAACTGCTGTGGTCCATCCTGTCATTTCCACATGCATTATTGTGCCTTTAGTTTTCACCTAAGGTTTTTTGTTTTGTTTTCCTTTTTTTTTCCCTAAAGTTTTTTTTTTTTTTTTTTTTTTTCCACCCCCCCCCCCCCCGGTTCTTTTGAGACCCCTTTTACCCCAGTCTTTTTCTGGAAGCTGATTCTGAGTCGCCTTTTTCCTTGTGCATAATGTTTCTGTCAGTTTTCTTTGTCTCACCCACTTGTACCCACCTCCAGCCTACTGTTAAATGATGGGACTGTGCAGACAAATGGTTTCTTTTTCCTTTTCTAAAAAAAATGGCACTAAAATATTGATATATTGCTAGAACATTGTAACAGTAGGCTTAGCAATTCTCTGAATTCCCAAATTTCATTAAGAAAGAAAGGTAAGTCTCAAGCTCCTACCTTCACAGAGGTATAGGGAAAAAGGCATATCTCCTAGGGAAGAAGCCAGAGACTAACTTTAAAAAAATGAAAGCTAGGAATTCAGAGAACCTGCTAAGCCTAGTCTTAAAGTGCTGTAGCGCTATAGCAATATATTAGTGCTATCTTTTTTTTTAAAAGGAGGGGTGTTGTGATGCCACTGATGACGATGGCACCCTCCCTTGAAAATCCTCACTATTTAATTGATTGTAAGCCGAGCATGCGGAAAAACCCAATTAACCCTTGTACAATAAAGTCTGATGATGGGATCCAGAAACTATGACAGCAATTTAACTCAGGGAGCAGATCTTTCCTGTTTCCTGCTACAGGCCCCTGAATAGTATATTAGAGGTAGTGATATTCAGTGCTATAAAACTCACTGGGTGTACTTGGACAAGTTGTTTTCTCTGTCTGACCTATCTTACAGGGTTATCATAAGGATAAAATGGAGGAAGAGAGACCACTACACTGTCCTGAACTTCTTGAAGGAAGGTCAGGATAGGAATGTGCTAAATAAATAAAAGGTGTGAGACACAATAAGAGGGATTGCAGCTGTAGGGATTCATTCACAGGCTCCAAGGATCTCCCCTTGCCACTCTCTCAAGGAAAGACTGGACCCAACCCTCTTCTCTGTTGCAACTGATTATTATGTATTATCAAATTGCAATTCTAAAGAACTCTGTTCATATCACAAGTATATATGAATTTAGATAAAACTTTAAAAATATTATAATGTAGATACAGGCAGGAAAAGATTATCTCAAGGAATACAATAAAGAAAGAAGACACCGTTGTGAAGATTAAGGTTTGTATGAAATAACAAACAAGACAGTAAAAAATAACTAGGTTATGTATAAGAGCTCAAAGGATTGTCAAAGTTATATGATATGTCCACTATTTAAAAGTTTGCCGTTCTCTTGAACTGTCTCCAAAATACTGCTGTGGGAACACTACACTGAGAATTTTGTCTTCTTAACTGAACACATGACAAAAATAAATTGGCATATTTAACCTGTATTAATATAATGGATTCTTTTTTCTAAATTTAAGATTAGTTTCAACAGAATCCACAGATATAACTAAGCCAGCATTTCACAAAACTGGCAGTACTAAAGCTGAAATCCAAGCTCTAAAAATTCTGATAGAGGAAACTATTACATGAACACAGAATTAGGTATACAGAAAGTAAACAAGTTCGTCTTTACCATTTATGGCCTTGCACCCATTAAATGTTCAATATTAAAACCTGAGAAATGGACAGAGCTGAGTGCTTGTCGCAGAGAAGCCACGTTGGGGGGTCATGCACCTCATTTCTCAATCAAAAGGCATTAGAATGAGTGAAAAAGGAGACAACATCGACACAAAGAATAAATGCTATGGAATCACAGTTAATCAAAACAAGTCTGTGTCTATATTTTTGTATGGTCTTGCATGCAGACTAATTTCCAAGGTCACAATGCATACAAAAATATGCCCTGAAAATCTTTAAGAAGTCAAGTACATTACTATATCTCTAAGATGCTTGCTACGAGGAATTCAAATACACAAATGGATACTTTACTCAAGCTGACACCCATTGTCTTGAGATTTAGGCATGCATAAAAAATTGAAGTTTGCCATTTTTGCACAAAAAAGCCAGAGCACACAAAATGAACTGCAAGACAAAGCAAAATGCAAATTTCTGATCACTTTCATTCTCCCATAGTTTAAAAGGACAAGGAAAATGGCAAAAACAGACACAGAAAATGCAAGCGATACAAATAACACACACATTCACCCCATAATTTTTGCTCATTTGGCACTGAAAATATTAAAAAGTCAAACTAATGAAAAAATAAAATGTACAAAACAAGGTAAGAATGCCAGTAACAAGGATGTTAAAGAGAGAATTGGTTAGGCTAAAATAAAAGGTCACTCAACATGCTAAAAGTGTTTTTATTGAAATTAATGGTTAAACACAACACGGGGGGGGGGGTAAAGAAACTGCACTGAAAGTTGCTGAAGTTTTAACAATGCACAGAGACCTACCAACACAGAATTTTCCAACAAGATCTCCTGCACAAAAACAAATGATAATCCAGTCATGACAAACTCCAGGTATCAATGCCATAGTGATCCTGATACCATCTATACAGAGTAAATTCACTGTTATGGTTGTATCTCAGACATACCACAAGACAAACACTTGATTGCATTTTCATCACCTAAGTCCTTAAAATTAAAAACCATTCCTTACAGTAATACCTGCTCAAAACTATTATGCCAGTAATAAAAAATCAAATCAGAAATTACTAATAATTTTATATCAAAGTATGTGCTGCTTTTATAGAAAAAAGCAGACCAAAATCTCTATAGCAAGGTTCCTAATGGCCCATGCACAAGTGCTAAGGGTGGTCAATTCTGGCGATATTTATTAAGAACAATTAAAAACTACATCTGCAATGATGCAGTTAGGTACTTTTAAACTCTGGACTTAATTGTCTTATGCACCTTTCCAGATGTAAATGATGGGACATCAAAAGCAAAGCTATGGCCTCCTTTGGGAGCCTGTGGGCCATGGGCATAGATCTCTGCCCTAAAATCTTACCCTGATCATACCAGTGCACATCCATAAATCAAACACAAAATTCGTAGCATTCATTATTGGATGCTACATTCCCCTTCATGACCTAATTGTTGCTTGCCAGAACTAACCTGTAGTTACTATACAGCTCTAGCAGCCAGATCCTCAAAGAAGGATCATTCCAGAAGAATTCACAGAAGGACAAATCTGCATATACTGACCACATATACAAAGTATATTCTGACACATGAAGAAAGCACTCACTGTATTTTTCCTATAGTTCTGATTCTGTCTCCGTATCTATTCACGGCCTAGTAATGTTATGCACTCACTCGGGAATGTGGTCTATGTCACCATACGGCAACAATAACTTCCTGTTGTCTACACAGGACAAACAGTTTTGTTTGTATGCTAAGAAAACCGCTTTAAAGGATACAAAACTGACATAAGATGGCCTTAGACACTGATTTCTTTGAAATCAGAGAGAGAATATTTCAGTCTTCCTGAATAGCCTGCTACAAAGCTGAAATTCACCATACTTCACCAACAATACCTTCAAAAAGACCCCAAAGTGCAACTGCTGAACTAGAATTTATCCATAAATTTGATTCTATTAGGTTGGGTAATAATTAGGGCTGCTTCACAGAGGTTTTACACTGGTCTGGCATTCGAACGGAAGTGGGTTTTTTTGGGTTTTTATTAAGCATTCACATGGTATCATCTCCCAATCAACTATGATCCACATTTCCCCCTGTTTTGCTCTGATCCCTTCCAAATGTTGATTGGTACAATCTTTGGGGAAATATCATAGTCAAAGCATGTTTGCACACTGTGTGGCTGGGAAGTTGCACATTTTTACAGGTCCCATTCACATCAACACCATTTCCCTTACCTTAGCTCTCATGATAGCCTTGTAGTATTAGGCTATAGAGATATGTTGATTACTAGTTTTAAGCTACAGTGATATACCAGTTACATTTGGTAACTGGAATATTACTATAGCTTAAAAACACTAACTGGCATAGCACAGTAACTTAACACTTGCAACAATATGTCAGTGACTGATTAAAAAAAAAAAGCCTGAAAGGGTTCTCCGATGGTGGTGGTGGTGGAACAGTGGTCACATGGTGGGTGAGGAAAGCAAAGTATGGGGCAAAGAACCATATGGAACTGTGGTGCCTCTGTGTGGAAGCAGAAAGGGACCATGGGGCTGTTCTCCCTGTTCAAGTAGGAAATTAGCATAGCAAAGCTAGAACTATTAGATTATCACCAATTACTATGGAAGAGAATAGTTATTATGCTTATCTTGAATATATCTGAACATAAAAGCAGAAGTGTAACAGATTAGAACTTCCCTGCCACGGCCTTTTGGTCCCCACTCATTACAATTTTTGTTCCTTGTATTTATGTATATATAGGTGTGTGAAAGCAAACATCTATCAGTTTCAAACATCTGGTGATGCAGATTACAGTACAAGGGTCCTAACATTTTTGAGCCTGTAGGCATATTTGGAATTTTGGGAGGGGTCGGTAGCCCCACCCCAAAAACGGCTCTCCAGGAGGTGCAGCCAAATCCCAAATAACTACTGACGTAGACAAAACCAAACGAAATATGTCCCCCTTCACATCTCCTGGGAAGAAGGAAAGTCTGAAGGGGGAATGGAACTACACACTGACTAAGGAAACCTCAGGTACTTACTAGTCCTTCTGATATTCCAGTGGAAAACCCTTTTGCTTCAGTGAGGGCAGCCAGTAACAAGCCCTGCCTTACAATGGCCCCACCCACTTCTTGAAAAGCTCGGCAGGGGCTAAAGGAAGTACTGGTGGGCACCATAGCCCTGGGAACCCTGCTGTAGTACATGAAAGCTTACACAAAGCAGCAGGTCTTTCAAAGTGCCACAAGACTCCTAATTCATTTTATATAACTGAAAACTACTTATTTACCCACTTTGTTTTACTAAATCTGTGTGCAGAACAGCTGTTTTTCCATAAAGCAGACCCACTACTTAGAGCAGCAGTTTAACTCTGCCAGCTCCAAAGTCACAAAACAAAGCAGACTGGAGAAGGCATTAAAAACATTGTACTTACACATAAGCACTTTACGAGGCTAGATAAGTTTACATGACGTGGAGCAAACATATGAAGTTGCTGAAGGCATGAGATGGCGTGAGCTTGCACAAGATAATCAGGATTGTCTTGCATCACTGCACAGCCCAGGAGACAGGATGCCCTTAATGCTGATACTGTAGTGCTGCCGCCTACAGATAAGACAAACAAGAGAACAGACCTCCATCATCTTCATCATTAATCCAATAGTGTCATCAAAAAACAGAGTATTGCAAAGAACATGGTTAAGAAACTACCTTTAAAATTGCCGTTTTTATAAAAAAAAGTAATTTATTTAAGTAGTGCACTACTGATGGGAAATTTATAGGATAATTACTGTATCTCAAAAGGGTTTCCCTTGTTCAATAGGCAGCAGCCCCCCCCCCCACTTGTAAAGAGCCAGTTTACATTCCCACTGGTTCAGGGTTATTTCCCTTGCTGATTAGAATATGCATATATATGTACATCCATGCGCAAGGGACAATGCAGATTCTGGGGATAAAAAGGAAGCCTAGCTTTGCCCGAAGTAATCCTTCTTGCATTCACAGTAGTATTCCTTGCATCTATGCAGGAAAGTGGTTTCAACTACCAGGGAAATAAGTTTGCTAAGAGCTCAAGACACAGAGAGGTTCTCTTGCCAATGAAGAATGGAGCACTTGATTAATCTGCCATGCTCACAAAAGGGACCTCTCCGGTCACCATCCATTCTTCTGGCAAATGAATTCTGGAGGGTGACAGGCAATGTACAAAATGATCTTATAGATTTTGGTACCTCCATAATCTGGACATTTTAAAGATGATTCCTCACATTGTTCCCAAAAGTGTTCCTAAATGAATAGTTGTGCCACTGTTTCACTAAACAAACAACTCCCAACTTCATGATTAATAATGCAAGACTCCATCATCATCGCCATGCCACAAACATATGCATACCTTGCAACTCAGGACCCAATGTGGTGATAAGTGCATTTAAACAGCGACCAAGGCTTTGATGGACTTCAGCATAAGCAGGAGGCACAGTCAACAACAACATGAGAACAAGAGAGAGGGTAGGTTCTACATGCATGTGATACAGAGGGCCAGCAGAATCAATGACCAGTGACAAGGAATGCAGTGCCCAGGTCTGTAAAATACCAAAAATGGAGTGCTGTCACACATGTGCACACATAGACAAGCATAAATTATAGAATTTGCACACTGTGATAAAAATTGAGTGCACTTTAGTAAGAAGGTGATAAATAGTACACTACTGATGTTGTACAATAAGGTAACAAGGAATTACACAATTTTAAAGATGACGGCTCCAAAGAAATATCTAATTTTTCTTCTTGGCTGAGGTCAGCAAAAGGCTGAGAAGGTGAGAAAGGCTACTTCTGGCATGTATGTGTACGTACATACTCTTATCTTCCTTGCCTCTCTCAGTGGGCAGGAACAGCTTATCTATCATAATCTGAAAGGAAGAACAGAAAGGGAGGCAGCCAGGGAAAGGGGTATGACACCCACCCATACACATGTAAGCTGTCCCCCATGCTAACCCAAGAGCCACAGAAAGGGAGAAGGAGAACTAAATTCCAGAATGTAGAGGTGGATGTAATGGAATACTTATTTTGTTCACTGAATATTACAGTATAGGTAATGACAAAAAATTATAAGTTGAGAGACTGGCTTGTATCCAGCGATGCACAAGCGGAAACGTAAACAAACTTAGAGCAGTTCCACTTGAGCAAGATCTTGTGTATATTTCTTCTCTGTATATTATAGCACCCAGAAATTAATTGCACAAGATCTTCCACCAGTAGAAATGCAAGTGGGGACACAATAAGCCTGACATGCAGCTACCATGGTCTTTTTCTTGCATTTCCACTAGCACAAAAGCTCAAGTGTAAATGGAAATTCTGCACTGGAACCAACCCATTATCTTCAATTGTTTAATGAACATTTTGGAAAAGAAGTGCATGCTGAAACAAAATACCTGTACTTCAGGTGAAGTGCTGTCCTGAGATAGTGTGTAAAGTATTCCAACACAGGCATTCAAGTGCTGAGTAGAGTTTATGCCTCCTAGATATCTATAGAGAGATCCCAGAGCCAAAGAATGTCCTGCTCTTGATATAACATCCCTAGCAGATTTTAGCCTATGAATTGTAAGGGGAAAAAATACATTTAAAAAGGATTAGAACAGACCCCTGTGTCTTCTTCTCTGTGAGGCAGATTTTCCCATCAAAACACTGTTCCCCACTCTGACTGAGCAGCCTCTTAGTAGCGTATTTGAATTATAGAATTATAACTTTCTGTAGGTCCCACCCTGTGATAGAGAAGGTATTTCGCTTTCGCCCAGGTCAGATATTTTTTGTAACTCAGCAGGAGGCCTCCTATAAATCCATTTTCGAAATGGCACTTGACACAAAGTAAAGTTAAAACAGAAAGGTTGATTTTATTGAACAAGCACAGGTGATTTAGGAATAAAGCAGGGGATGAGAAGTTGAGGTAAATTTGGTTGTTTATACAAATTATACTATTTTTAGCAGGCAACAGAGTATAGTTGAAGCTTACATTCTTAGAGATTCAGTTCTTTTTTATATAATATATTTATTAATTTTCAGACAAACATAGAAACATACAAAACCATGATGAACATACAGAAAAAAACCCCCTATTCATAATTACCTCTCTAGGCTATCCAGTCAGACGTAACATGTTATCACATATTCCAGTTATCAAATTATAAATCACCAACTTCCCTAGGATGGGAGTCCATACAACTACATTCCTTTTAAACAAAATGATCTTAAAGCATGTACCTGCAATCTGTTTGCATTATAAGGCCATTCCATTAGGGAAATGCATTTGCCTTTGCAAATATGAGAACCAGAGACAAGAACTCAAGGCTTGCGGAACACAAGATTGCATGACCATATTAGGCGTCGCTAGGCCCGTTACTAGAAATTGCTGACCTTTGCTTGTTATTCTGTTATTGCTAGGAAACTTGCTTCTTTACTCGTTTCTGTCCTCTTAGCTGCTTCACTATTTTCTGTTTCACTATTTCTCTTGCCCCGTTGGATGGTAAGTTATTACAACCTTCTTTAGCCCCTTTCAAGGTTCTAAAATTCGATATTTGCTTACTAGGCACTAAGTCCACTTTATTTTCAAATTTTGTCGTGGGTAGGATTACTATGTCCTGAGATTCAGTTCCTTGACTATAATTGAAATCCTTGTCAATATCTCTCTGCCATTGTTCAATTTCTTTCCCATCCTCCCCATCTACAATAAATATAAGCTTTTTCTCCAACAAGCTCTCATATGTTGCTTTAGCTGTCTGTTGGATCTGCTTATTATCTTGGCTTTGTTCTGTTACTCTTTCATTGCCCTGATACAATTGCGCCGACTCTTCAGCCACCACATTTAGAATAGGGTTCTGCGGTCCCTTTAAGAGATTTTCAAATGCTATTTTGACCGCTTGTTGAATCTCCTCACCCCAAAATTTTTTTGTTCATATGTCACTTGAGAAATTTCTGTATTGAGCCATTCCTCCGTATCTTGCATTATCTCCACATCCATTTCTGAAGCTTATTAATTTCCTCTTAATGCCCTAATAAAATAAAACCTCTTGTTTTTGGCTCCGTTTATTTCCCTGGCCGCTTTTCCAATAAAAGAAACTTTTCACGAGGGGTTATTTTTTACTCTGCATTGTCAGTTTTAGCCATAAAAAAGAAGAAAAGACCATGGACTCGTACTCACAGTTCCCTGCATTTAGTTGCTGTAGCCAGTGTTATAGAAATTATAAATCCAAAAGGGTTAAAAGGCGAATGGTCGCGGCTTGTGCAGAGCATGGCGTTCATGCTCTACTCCATAGGATGCTCCTGCTTCAGGGTAGAAGCGGTCATCCCTCTGCATTGCCAAGGGCAGGAGGGGCTGCAACAAAGCCCCCTGCACTAGACCTCTCTTCGGGAAGTGTAGCAAAGTCCACCTGGGATCCAGGGGGCTCCGAAAAGAGCAAAGAAGGATCAGGCATCTCGGAGCCTCTGAGAAACCGCCTGTCACCGCACCGTACCGCTTCCAGTTTCAGAGATTCAGTTCTTGACTGTGAGAGGTTTGCTTGTCTTGGAGATTTCTTTCAGCAACAACGTGTCTTAATAAAGTTTCCTAAAACCATCTTAGTTTCCTGGAAGTTAGTACTTTCCTCCTGTATTTAAATACTTCCTTTCTGGGATTATAACTTTACTTTTTTACTCTTGTTTCCCTTTTCACACAAGGCAGGGGTCCCTTCTGAGTTGAACCCTCTGAACAACTGGGTAAGAAATATCCTCCTCTTTCTAGGAGTGACAATCCTGTTTTGTTCAGCTAGACTGGCAGTTTCAACCTCCTGTTTAGTGTCTTCTGTCAAACCTAAACCCCACCTTTGGAGACTGTGAATAAATGGAATTCAGCTAGGGCTGACACTTACTCTAAGTTCTGATTTCTGAACTTTTCCTCAAATAGGATGGTACACAACAAGGACTAGGAGTTGGTGTCCCTTCACTTCACAAGTGAACTTGTCTGTTTCCCTCAGACCAACACACACACTCCTCCTGACTGGCAACTGCCAAGCCAAAGTCCAAACGACCACTGACTGACCCTGACAAGACTGACAAGATTTTTTTAAAAAACTCTCCTCAGCTGGCACTGACCAATCAGAGAGAAAGGGGTGCATGCAGGCAGTGGTCCATCAATCAAAATGTGCTTTATAGTGAGGCATTAACTCCTAACGGTCCTTTCCGCACTTGAATCTCATCCCTGGTTTTATCAGAGTTCAACTTGCAACACAACACCTTGCATTTATTCCTGGTTATAACAGGATCCATTTAATCCTGGGAAAAGTGTGGGGCAAAACTGGGGTGACCTCAATGTAATGTGGAAACAAAAAATACCCCAAGATAATTATAGAGGTGAACTCGGGTGTAGTGTAGAATGTAAGTTCAGGGACAGGGTTGAGCCAGGATTTAATATCTAGTGCGGAAAGGACCAATCTCCCAGCTCTCTGCTTTTGATGCACTAAGCATCCTGGTTTTGAAGGTCAGTCTGTCATATCCGGCTTTACAAGAAGATTACAAACCTAAAATAATATTATTTTGCATCTCCTCACAGCAAAATGGTTACCTAAACCCTTCAGCCTGAAGCAAAAAAAGAAGTAACGTTACATTTTCAGCACTATTTATGCAAGTTATTCCCATATGTTCTTAAAATTTATGCCAAATGTACAGACATCAGATCCTTACTTGAGTAATCATCAACACTACTCAGAAGAAAAAGGATATATAAACAGGAATGATGTAATGTAGTAGAATCATACAAAAAGAAGTGGCTTACTTGTCAAAGCTAATTTGTGCCAATCCAGCAGTGAAGGCACTGTCAGGAACTACCTGTGCAAGTCTGGCTAGGGATTCTGCAGCAGAACACCTTAAAGGTGGATTACTACTTTCCAAGGCATTCATCAGTAAAGCCAGAGCACACTTTTGGATTTCTTCAGAACCTAAATCACCTTTGCAATTAGCCAAGTGCTACAACAGGAAGAAAAATGTTGTTATTTTATTTACCGAACTGCAAAAGTTATCAGCTTTTTCATATAAAAATAGCTATACTGAGCTTGTTTCAGTTTCATAAGGATAACGTGTATGCTTCCTCTTCAGTTACTCTATCATTCTCAGCTGCTTCAGTTTTAAAAGTGATCCCTAAGCACGTGAGGGAGAAGTAATGATTCTGGATACTTTCTTCAATTGAATACCAAAATGTAACTCATTCTTACATGCATGAAGATCTTGTGGATATAGGGAAACTGATTCTGATGTTTTGGCCATTGTGTGACAGAGTATTGAACTGGATGGGCCATTGGCCTGATCCAACACTGGCTTCTCTTATGTTCTTAAACCACATTACAAATAAAACAACAACCATAAGAGCCAAACTAATTTCGACTAGTTTCTCTTAATTTCTCTCTTTCCTTTCATCCAATTAATCCAATAATCACCATTTTTAGGGTAGCCAGGCCCCAAGTGGTGCCTGGCGATCTCCCAAAATTACAACTGATCTCCCAAATAAAGAGATCAGATCCCCCGGAGAAAATGGCTGCTTTAGTAGGTGGACTCCATGGCTGCTGAGGCCCCTCCCCTTCCCAAATCCCACTCTCCCTAGGTTCAACCCCAAACCTCCAGGAAGTTCCCAATCCAGAGCTGGTAACCCAACCGTATTGCAAACCTTTAATTAGATATAATTTAGTAAACGTAAAGGTTTTCCTTGCTCGAAAGCCAGTTGAATTCGACTCTAGGGGGTGGTGCTCATCTTTGTTTCCAAGCCGAAGAGCCAGTGTTGTCCAAAGACTTTTCCATGGTCATGTGGCCGGCATGACTAAACGCCGAGGTGCACGGAATGCTGTTACCTTCCCACCAAAGCGGTACCTATTTATCTACTTGCAATTTCTTGCTTTCGAACTGCTAGGCTGGCAGGAGCCGGGGCCTAGGGTTGCCAAATAGTTTTCACTCACCGGCGGGGGAGGCTCCGTCCCGTCTGGGAGCAGTCTGTGTGTGTGCACGCGCAAAGCGCACGCGCGCTGCCGCGACGTCACCGGAAGTGACGTCAGACGCTGCCGACGTTGGGGGCGTGGCCGAGCTCATCGGGGGGGAAACATATGGTTCCCCCCGGGGGGGTTACCCGCCCCCCGGGCACATTTGCCAAGCCTACCGGGGCCAGAGATGGGAGCTCACTCCATCATGCAGCACTTGAGTCTTGAACTGCCGAGCTATCGATCTTTTGGTCTGCAGCTCAGTGTCTTAACCTCTGAGCCACCACAGCCCCAAATCTAGTACTTCAGTTTTAAACTTATCCAAAGTGTTGTACTTATTTAAAAACACAATACAAAACTAGTCTTTTACAAAATTTGAGTCTCCCTGGACTTAAACTGTAAGAGGAAGTGCCTAACCACGATCCTGAAACAATGCCTAGCACGGCTTTCTTTAGAAGGTAGAGTGCTGTTACTCTCTCTCTCACTCACATGCACGCATGCACGCACACACACACACACACACACACACACACACACACACTGACATAAAGGTAATGCTTCCCAAATCAGAGGAAAGCCAGGATTTACTTTGGTAAGAGATAGTTTAAGGAAGTAGGTACGAGAAAACACATGGGCACTATATGAAGGATCACTCTAATATATATTCACTGAGACAGTAATTATGTGTGCGTGTGTGTGCGTGTGTATGTGAGTATAAATATAAACCACACATGTATATAAAAACCAAAACACAAAAATAGGGCAAAATTGAGTAGATAATGAACAGAAAGGAGAAGGAAATTTTTAGAAGAAGGAAAACAAAAAAGACACATATATGAAGCTGCATTAATATAATTCATATTCTTATTTTCCCCCCTGGATGCTTATAAGAGTTTGAAATTCACAATACTGATCCCAGGAATGTGAAGCATTAGAAAGACAAAACTTGCAAAAACTTTGTGTATTGGATGTTTCAAGCACATCTAGCACTGCATATGAATAACATGAATATTATTTTTGCCAAAGAAATGGTTATTATAACAATGGAAAGAGGAGCTTTTTACCTTCAGAAAGTTAGAAAAGACAGATACAACATTTTGTTGTACTATCTGCTGCCGTGATCCTTTGGCTTGTTTTATGGATGCCATTAACTGTTCTAATACTTGCAGCCTTATGCACATACACACAGAGGGAGAGAAAAGCAAGTATTCATTTATACGCAATATTCATTCACTGATGTTCTCTTCTTTTTCTAATTGAAAAGCAGCTTAATATAGTTCTGTTCTACAAGTTCTCAATTTCTGTTTCACCTTTATTATACAGTCATTTTATATATTTTATTTTGTTGATTTAGGGACCACTTTTCTGTTTGCTAAGAGCATCAAATACATGGATAGTCCAAATACACAATGTTGGACCCTAGCTGTTTAGGATTCCAAATGGTCACGTATAATGCACTGACAACCCTGTCTGGTATCAGGTAAAAGGATACACCATCTAATAACAACATGTCAGCGCATTTAATTCCACATACTAATGAAACTGATAGAAAATTTATTATGCTTACTTTGCTTATCTGATTGCAATGTATGGATGTTAAACGAAATGCCGATTCTTGGTATTTCCCCCATCAATGTATTTATTTAATTATTGAAATATTTATACCCCACTTTTCCTCTTGGCTCAATATGAGTATACTGACAGCTAAATTTATATTATATATTTATATTATATTATATTTTACAGCTATTTTTATAAAATCCTATGGCCATGCACTTTTTCATTTTTACTTGTTGAAAAATGTTACACTCCTTAATGTAAAAGTCTGTAATGTGACATTTTAAATTCACAGTCATGAATAGTTTACCTTTGTAACTCTGCTACATGGGAAAATATTACTCCAAAGAGACGGGTTGCTGCATTGATAATGGATAACATAGGAGGTAGCGGTTTAGGCACTGAATCACCTTCTGAAGCTTTCTCATAAACTGAATATGGGTCATACTCCAGACTTCCTCCAGCTATACTGTTAACTAACAGCAGCTGCAACAGCAGGAAAAGTACAAATTTTAACTCTTTCTGGTCAAATCACTGGACAACAGCCTTTTTTCATGTAAACACTATGACAAAACTAAAGTGAATACCTGCTCTTCAATAAATCTCTGCTCTGTTTCTTGTAGGAGGGGACCAAGTAACGTGAGTTCATTCTGGTGACAGAGAGATGGAAGGTAAGAAGCAGAAGCTGACATCTGATTATCAGGCTGAGTCAAATCAGGCACTAGTTCTTTGAGAAGAGCAAAGAAACATCCTGAAAATAATGGGGACAAGAAAATACTTTTACTCACTTCTAGTAGACAAATACATTATCATACCCACCTAAGATATGAGATATGGCATTTGTGGCTGACAAAAGATGGGGAGTCCAATACATGTGAGTGAAACTTGATCATCTCAAGAAGTTTGCCTTGACCACTCAGCTGAACCATTTCTGAAAATGACAGTTACTTAAAAGTAACTAGCAGCTGAATCCTGCATGTTCCAGGCTTAGAGCTATGCAAATCCAGTAAGTGCAGTAAAGGAGTGAATGAAAGCACTGATAATGAGATGCAAATTGATTTTTCCACCAGCTTTTGTTGCTGGATTTAAGGAGACATACAACCAAGTAATTTCAAGGTTTGCATCCACATGGTTATAATTTTCTGTGTTCCTTCCGTTGCCACTGTGAATGCAGAGGCAACCCCAGCAGCAATGGAAGATTCACACAATAGTTTTCCCTACACTTGCCATCCCATAGCTACCCATGGCTCCCCCTCGCACTAATGGCTTTTTCAGTAAAAAAAAGAAATAAAATTTAATATATCACTATATCAATGTCAATTACTATTTTTTAAAAACAGCTGCCCAAAAAAGACATCTGGCAGTGTGGTAGAAGGGCAGCCATGGAGGACTGGGTCAAGGAAAATGTTGCTGGTAATGGGCCAGATATAGAAAAATGCACACTAGTGGTGTGCACTCGGTATATACTTAGCCGAATAAATACCTGAAAAATACCCTATTGTATTTTTCAGGTATTTATTCAGCCAAATACAGGTGAGACAATCTGATTCGGCTGCCAAAATAGCCACTCCTGAATAAAAGCTGATATTATTTGGCTTTTATTCAGGCTTGGATAGAAGGCATTTAAAGAGATCACTCTTTAAATGCCTTCTGAGTTCACTTGCCGAGTTGTACCGCCACCTTGGCACAACTCAGCAAGTGAACTCAGAAGGCACTTAAAGTTTAAATGCCTTCACTCATCGAGTTGTGCCGCAGCAGCAGCAGAACTTGGGGATTGAAATTCTCTATTACAGAAGGTATACCCATAGGGTAAAAAGAAGCTGAATAAATATATCAGATACTGGTATTTGGGAATATTCGGGAATACCGATATTTTTCAGGTCCAATAGACCCAAACTGGAAAAAACCAGATTGTTTTTACATACCCTAATGCACACATTTGTGTCCAAGCAGCACGTGAAGGCACTTTGACTTTGATCTTTCTTGAAAGATCATACCAAATCAGCTTAGGGAAAGAATGCAATAAAGCAGGAAAACACAGAAAAGTGGACTATTTGGGGAAGATGCTGGGTCAAGGCTTCAAAAAGAAAAAACTTCTCTGCTTTATGCATTAAATTGGTGCAAAACCTCCATGTGGATGCTACGTAAAAATTAAATAAGATTAACTTTACATTTCTAAAATTCAGGAGAAGACAGAGAGATTATAATAAAGAGAGAACAGTGTTATTATTAATGTTCTATCACTGAATTAAAAAATATTCATATTCAGCAACACCATATGCAGTAATATAAATGCTACTGCAGTAAGGATCAGATCATAAATTCACCATGTGGAACAAAGGGGCTTTCCATCAAATAGCCAGGGTTATCTGAAAACTATAAGGCAGCACCATCTTTAACATAACAGTAGTAGAGGTTTCCTTACATTTTTATTCTGCAGTTCAACACACACATCTTGTATCACTTCACACATCACACTAAAACATGGCTAAGGAAATTTAACTAGCCCTTGTGATCAGCCCTCATTTGTGGTCAGCCCTTGTGATCAGCCCTCATTTAACTAGCCCTTGTGACTAGCCCTCATTTACATTTACCTAGAAGCAAAACATGGTTTGAAGTTAATATTATACCAACCACAATCCCATAAAATATGGATTCAGAATAGGAAGCTACTTAGTCTGTAACCCTGACCTGGATGGTCCAGGTTAGCCCAATCTCATCAGATTTTGGGAGCTAAGCAGGGCTGGCCCTAGTTAGTATTTAGATGGGAGACCACAAAGGATGTCCAGGGTTGCTACGCAGAGAAAGGCAATAGCAAACCACCTCGAAGATCCTATGGGGTGCCATAAGTCAGCTGTGACTTCATGGAACTTCACACTCTTTGTACTGAGACAAGATTTATTATTTCTCATTTACAGACAAACAAGACAAGGAAACCTTTATTAGGGTATCTCAGGACAGGATTTTTGGATATTTTTAGGAGAAAATATGTACCTTCATAAGTCTTGGGAGGTAGCAACGTAAGCAATTCATACAGTCTTTTCCTATATGTCACTGATGATGGTTTTAATGGATTGCCATAGGTTTTATTTAATAAAGGAAGCCTTAAAACATAAAATGCACAGCTTGAAGTTAGACTGAGGTTAAAATTCACAGGTTACTGGTTTGCTTTTCACTTTACCTCCAATACATTGCCTGGAAACATACAAAATTTTAAGCCACCACACAAGACTGTATATTTAAATTTATTTTAAAAACATTATCTACATTTCACCGTTCAATAATGTAGCTATATAAAATGTTTTATACTGAAAGATCCTTTAAAAAGACTAAAGAAGCAACGACTGCATAATGTAGAAAACATTTCAAAAACGTCATGTTAAACAGTACTTACTATAATCTTCTAAACATTTATGAATTTACATGCAATTCTAAATTAACTTTAGATTGTCACACAGTATACTACGATTCTAATAAGGTTCACGTTCACAAAGTAACACTTTACCAGATGCTTTCCTTTTTATTTTAATTTGTATGCTGTAAATTCATGTTGAAATATAATAATCATCTATTACAACAAATTTAATCAGTTAAAAAATTGAAGAACATACAACCAAGTTTTTCCTTAATATGAAATCAGCTGAAAAATCCTATTGGCATTCTTTGAGTCTACAAATTAATAGTTCCAGGAAATGTTTTTCTCAATACTCACTGGGTCAGTAAATCAACAGCACATGGGAGGGGAGGTAGCAGACTCTGAATGACTTCATCGGTAAGCAGACCCCCACAATGGACAATCAAGCTTTTGATAGCTGAGGGAAAAAACAGAGTGACTAACTATAACAAATGAGGAGTTAGGATCCCCCCCCTTTGGATTTTTATACAAACAAACAAACAAAAAAAACCCTGGTTGGATCCTATCAGCTTTTCTGTTCTAATTCCCTTTCTCACAATATCCACCATCTCCCACAGTTTTGGTCCATGTGGATTTCATGGTCCCAACCATAGTATCTTTGTTGGTCAGGTTGGTAGGACACAGCCCTGAATTATCTGTTCAGATTTTAAGAATATAATTGCTTCACATATTTTAAATTTTTTCATCATAGGCAATACCTGAAGAAAGGAAGTGGAGGAAAATGTGCTGGACTATTGTATAAAATAAAAACTTTATTCATTTATGGTGATAGCAACTGTTAACATTCAAAATAATTGAAGATACATGCTTGTAGATCCTGTTTGAAGTGTGTGTTGCAAGGATAACCAATGCTCTTTAAAATGTTAAGATTCACCTTGTAGGCCTTTGTTCTCACATGGCACTCAGCTGCCGTCCCCCCCCCCAACGAATGGAATTTTTCTGTCCTCATACTGCAGCCATAGTCAAGAGGCTAAAAATGACCAAATTGAAATTGAGTCCCGAAGTTGCAGGTGATAGTCAATGAGGCTGAGGTGCTGAATGGTACTGTGCTTCTCACATTTGATGGGTTCAGCTGATTCAGTTAGTAGTCTATGGGTTTTATTTGAATCAATACTATTGCTGAGAAGCAAGTTAATTCAGCTGAAAAGAAATGCTTTCTTCCACCCTCGTTGGCCCCTTACCCAGCCAATCTAAGTACATGGATCCATGCCATAATAATCTTGAAGTCAAGCTATTGTAACATGCTCTGCATAGGACTGCCCTTAAAAACAACTCGAAAGCTTCAAGGGAATAATGCTACTGCTCAATCACCATCAGGAGTTAAGTGATTAAATTTACTCCTAATCTACAATTATTCAAGGTGTTGGTTGAATGAAGTTTGAGACCAGTGACATGCACACAAATGATTATACCCCAAATAAAACTTTGTTGGTCTTAAAGTTGCCCCTGAACTCAAACTTTGTTCTGCTGCTTCAGACCAACACAGCCACCCACCTAAATCTATCTTCAAGGTGTTGGTTATTATCCTTGAAGTCCTTCATGGCTTTGAATCACATAACAAGACTGCTTCCACCAATATGCTCTACTTTGACACCTTTGTTCATCTGAGCAGGGACTTCAGAAAGTATCATCTTGTAAAGTGCTAAGATCAGTGGCTGCCAATAAAGTGTTCCAACTTGGTGGAATGCCTTATCTGTTGAGGTGAGGAAGACCCCACATCATTACTATTTCACAGACTATGTTAGACTGAACTGTTGTGACATTTTTATGAAGATGGGATTCCATTGTGATTAGTTTACAGTTTGCTGTAAAATTTTAATAGTTGTTATTGTGTGTCTTGTTGGTTTTTACTTTATGTAATCTGCTTTGAATCTGATAAGAAAGATGGACTAGAAATGTTGTAATACACAAACAAATTATCACTCTAATTCATTTTATCTCAGCATAGGCCACCACTGATGGTCTACTCTAACAGTCAACTGTGGACCCATCTGTAGATACTTAAATCCATGAGTTGGGGCCATGGAAAGAGAAAGGAGATCTTTCTACAAAGCTGGGGAAAGACCCAGGATTGCAGAAAAATCCTAAAAGTAAAAATTAAAATGGGGTGTTTGTTTTTTTTAACCAAAAACTCAAAATGAGAACAGTTATCTGTGTGAGCACATACAACCTAGGTTCCCTTTTAGCTGCGCCAGGCTGTACTGGTGCACCAATTTTCCCCCATCAGCGCAGCAATTTTTTTCACAGCACAGGGGTGGGAGGTTCCCTTCCCAATGGCCATGCAGGCCCAGGCCAAGGTGCATCTTCGCATCGCTGCAGGCGGGTAAGCAAAAGGCGATGAGGAGAAGCAGGGGAGAGCACGGGGCGCCTGCGCATCCATCCCTCCCTCTCCCGCTCTTGCCTAGGCAAGAAAAGATTTGCTGCCGCACAGAGAGCCCCCTCATGCTGCTCTCATTGTCCTTCCTCGGTGAAGCACCGCCGCTGCTCGCCCATGGGCAGCTCCCATCCCTCCAGTGCCTGGCTCACCTCCTCTCCTCTCCCCACCCTCCTGCATCCCTTTAGCATGGGGGCTGGCTCTGGCCAGGTGCCCTTGCCATCACCGCAGCAGCAAGAAGCCCCTCAGTGGCTCCTGGCACTGGCGGTTGAGCACACAGAAGAAGCCAGGATCCTGGTAGCTACCCACTTTGTTCCCTGGCCATGCTGGAGCTTGGACGGGTGGCCTGGCTTTATTTTAAACGGGAGTGCAGAGCTGGGTTCATTTCTATATTTAAAGAGACAGGGCACCAGGAAAACAATGCAATAACCCATTCAGAGACCAGCTTGGTCTTCTCACCGCTCTGCCCTGTGTAATACTGGACATAGGGTTGCCAGGTTCCCCCTGGCCACCGGAAGGGGATGGGGGAGCAGGGTTGCCAACTTCAGGTTGGGAAACTCTTGGAGATTTGGGGCTGGAGCTTGGGATGGACAGGGACCTGAGGGGGGCACAATGCCATAGAGTCCCCTCTCCAAAGCATTCATTTTCTCCAGGGGAACTGATCTCTGTAGTTAAGATGAGGTGTAATTCCAAGAGGTCCCCAGGTCCCATCTCAAGGCTGGCATCCCTAACTGGGGGAGGGGGGGTTATGCAGACATTTTTTCTCTGTGGGAAGAAGTCAGAAGATTTTCAGAAGAGGGCCTCCTGACAGTTATGGCTGTTTCTCACAAAAAGAAACCCCTTCTGTGTATGCCTGTGGGTGACTTCTCTGTGTATAAGAGAAGCAGTCTGACTGGAATGTCTAAATGGCCCAGGAACAAGCCCAGTTCAACAGCCTCTCTGATGCTCAAGTCAGGGCCAAGCCATCCAACCTCCAAGCATTACACATCTTCTTTATTCAGACTTGGAGTCTCAGAGCAGCTTACAATCTCCTTTCCTTCCTCTCCCCACAACAGACACCCTGTGGGACTGAGAGGCCTCTGAGAGAACAGCTGTGACAGAGCTGTGACTGGCCCAAGGCCACCCAGCTGGATGCATATAGAGGAGTGGGGAATTAAACCCAGTTCTCAGATTAGAGTCCACCACTCTTAACCACTGCACCAAACTGGCTTAGAAGGGCAGGGTTTAGAAGCACACACCAATTTCCATCTTTCCTGATCTTAAAGTAATTTTATAAATTTGGTCATTTTTCTAGGGAGTTATGGCTGTTTAAAACCCCCCATCTGGCAGCTATTTCAGTTGAACATGCTGAAGCATCAGTGCTTGACCTAAAGGAATTGGTGACAACATTAGCTAAAGAAAAGGCCTGAAATGGAAACATTAGAGAGACTTAAATTTCAACATCACAATTAACAGTATTTTTCAAAATGCTTCGTGATTTCTGTTTTTCTGTTTGAGAGAGAAAATCAGAGATGGTATTACTTGTTCTCACAATTAAAGAAAAGAAAAGAAATTAGCAACTTCAGATTTTGTGTTTTTAATTCTTCCTAAAATGCACTTATGTTTGAAAATTGGTGGGTGCACTGGGGGGTAGCATTTTCCCAATTTGAACAGAGTTGGCTAATGATTTTCAAATAGCATTCTCTGTGTTGGCTCTTAATTACAATAAAATACCATGGCTGATCACTCTGGAGTTGGCAGGCAGAGGGTGTGTATGCTTTATTATTAGAAGAGGGGGGGAGATAAGGCTAAGGCATGAGGCTAGGATGACTTAGCTAACTTGATGATACTGTTCATGGCTATGATGTATAAATCATTTCTAAAATATAGTTTGAAAGAGTCATATAGTATGTTCCATATAAATATAAATAAGTTTAATATAAATATATGGCTTGTAATACAAATGATAATAATAGTATATATGTTATATGTCTGTATGTTTTGTATGTTTGTACACTGAAATAATTTTTTTAAAAAAATGTCGGCCTGCTCACAGTTTTAAAGCTAGCATCACTTTTGGCTCACAGGGTAAGATTTCTGTTCAGGAGACTGCCCGCCTTCGAGGGAACATTGCATACAACTGCTCCTTAGATGCAGGGAGCCTGCAAGGAGAAAAAGGATGGTGGGAGAAGGAGCAGGAGCCACTGCTTTTTCCTCTTTCAGCTGCTGAGGCAGTGAAACTGGAGAGGAGCAGGGGGAAGGCCTCCCAGCCCTCCCAGCTGCTGAGGCAGCAACACTTTACACACATATACACACTCACTCCCCAGTAAAGCGGCACCAAAATTGGAGGTGGGCAGGAGAGGAAGTGCAGGACCTGACAGCCCTCACCTCTACCAAGGTGGGGGAGGAGGTGACCCTCCCCCCCTTGTTTCTCACCAAGCTGGCAACACTGGAGGTGGACAGGGGGATGAAGAGTCCTTGCTGCTCTCCACACTGGAGGAGGGTGGGGGAGAGGTTATAGCAGTCTCACACCCCCCAATGCTGAGGCAGCAACCATGGAGGTGGGCGGAGGAAGAAGGAGCAGAGGCCCAAGCCATGGGAATGGACTGCTGAGTGAGGAGGAGTGACAGAAAAGGGGTGAGGCAGAAAGAACAAAGCGGGATGAGTGACAGAGAAGGGGTGGGAGAGAGGGGAGGAAGCAAAGGCAGGGTGAATAGGATGCTCCCTCCCTGAAAGTTCCTTGCAGATCCCTCTTGTATATTCCTATTCTCAACCCAGCCAAATCTGAGGATACTTAAATCTGTAGATTGGAACCGTAAAGAGACAAGACAAATCTTTCTACAAACCTGAAAAACATCTCAGGATTGCGGAAAAACTTGAAATCTAAAGGAAAAAAACACTGGGAGTTCAAAAAACACCCCAAAATGATAAAAGAAACACCAGATGCCTTTCAGTAGCCATTGCTAGGCAACCACAACAGTTTCCCCAGCATTCCAGTCTTGATTTCTGCAAATAAAAGGCAGGGGAGGGGGCAGGGTCCTTTCCAGGGCTGTTTTGGCCTTTGAGGGAGGACTCATTGGGGCCAGACCTGGCAACAACCACCAGGCAACTTACTACCATCTGACTTGCAAGGGAGGCAGATTAAAGGTGGGCTGGTGAATAGCTGATGAAGGAGTCTATGAGGCAGGGAGAGGATATGGGGGTTGCCATGAGAAGAGAAAGAGAAAATAGTGTGGGGATGGGTTTGCAGGGGAAAGTAAGGTGCCCACCATAAATCTTAGCAGGTGGGTATGGCCCAGAGGCTGGCACCACACAACTGGGCCATAGTTCTTCCTGGTAGAGGCTGACAAGGGGGGAGGAGGGAATGTTGAAGACAGGGGGGCAGATAAAGGTAAGTTGGCTGCTGGGTGAGAAGGAGAGAAGGAAACAGGAAAAGAGGAGAGGCGATGGGGGCTTTCAGGGAAGGGAAAGACAGAACAGCACAGGAGGGGGAAAAGAGATACCCCTCGCAAATCACAGCAGGTACCCTGCTTGTCTGATTAATAATTAATTTCTAAAATCAAAAAGTACTTCTAGCACTTTTGAGGCTCACAAGAGCCAGTGAAGAGTAGTGCCAGGTTAGGACTGGTGAATCCTGCATTCAGATCTCCACTTTGCCATGAAGTCTGATAGGGGACCTTGGGCCAGTTATTCTCTCTCTTTTAGTATAGCCTTCCTCATAGGGATGAGGTGAGGACCATAGATAATGCCTGAGCCCCTTAGAGGACAGGCAGATAAAAATATGATGGATAGAAGCAGTGAGTCCTGGTGAAATATACAGGTCAGATTAATACACTAAGGTAAACATTGTGAAAAGTAAAGAAAAAAATAAAGGAAAAAACCCTCCTGGCTTGGAACCCACTGAAAATTTCTATAAGTGGAGGAGGACCCTCCTTGCATCCCTCCTTCCGGTATAGCCCATAATAACCTCCAGGAAAAGCATGAGGTCTGCAGTCAGAACAGGAGAAATAAGCAAAGATCACCCTGTCACAGAAACCTTCAACAGGATTCAAGCCATTACCCTGTTTTTTTCTGTTTGCTTTCTGAACGTTCATAAAACGAGAGGCAAAAAAAACCCCCATGGTGAACACTGCCTACCACAGAGAGCACCTGCGCGGCCTTCCAGTGTCACTTGCCAGGTAAAAGAATCACCCCGACTCTTCTCTGTTTCTAAATCTTTAGGAGACAATGGGAACACACACTTCCATAGTAACAGCATTCTTGGGAGATGGTACTGGACAACTGCAGGACCTGTAAAATTGGCAGTTTTAATATAATAAACTACATTTAAAAAAATAATAATCAGCAACTATGCAAGCACCCCCCAAAGACTTCATGTCAATTGCTTGAAGGCTGCAGCTGAGATAGTCTGACTTGCTCTATGACCTTACTATTAGTGATCAGTAGCAAGACCTGAAGTTAAAGTTATCTCTGGTTACTTGATTTTCTCAAACTTTGGACTCAAACTTTGTTCTATTGATTTTCTCATCTTAGTTTTCCCAGTTCCAACTGGAAAACAGACAGGTGATATTACCTATGGTCTCTTGCAGAACAGCCAAAAGAACAGCCAGAAAAATCTGGGATTTATAGAAGATTAGTTTTTCACAAATCTTTCTGGACTGATAGGTAATACAGATGTGGGCAATATACAACCCTCACATCCTTCCCTGTTTTAAACCATTTATTTTAGATCTTGAAATTTTTGGAATTTTTTTGCAACTCCTAACAACTTTCTTTAATTCTTTTTGCACATTAGTTAATTGAAAAATATAGCTTGTCTATATCTCACTTCACCACATAATTCATTATTTTAATCCAAAGAACCTCAGAGTTTATGTGAACATTTTAGCTAAATTATCTGCAATAAGGAGTTCAGCAGCACGTTAGAGACCAAAAGATTTCAGGATAACAAATGTAGAGTCCAATGGCACCTTTAAGACCAACAAAGGTTTATTCAAGGTATGAGCTTCCATGTGCACACACACTTTATCACTTTATTTGATAAACTGTGCGTGCACTCAAAAGCTCATACCTTGAATAAACCTTTGCTGGTCTTAAAGGTGCCATTGGACTCTACATTTGCTATACTGCTTCAGACCAACACAGATGACCAACAAGATTTTAGGATATAAGCTTTTATTTTTTTTATAACTTTTTTATTGCTTTTATATACTACATCCTATGTGGGGGAAAGAAGGGGGATATCACTAAAACCAAAACAGAAAGAAAAAATCTAAAACTTAAGACAAGGATCATATTGCATGTTTTACATCGTTATATATCCATCCTATCATAATAACATAGAAACATTATGTCAGCAATTAATTTCTAAATTAGGCTATCTTAAGACTTCTATATTAATTTTCAGGTTTTTATCATCCCTTATATTCTATTGAACTTCAGTTTTTCCATGCTTATTCTTCTTATATTTCAGGCTAATTTTAAATGTTTTAGGAGCAGCTACTCCTTTTTCCAAGTCTGAGGTTTCTGGAGTACTACTAGAACTGCTCAAAGTGTCTTCTGTTTCTCCATCGCTTTTGTCCTCTTCTTCATTATTGTCTTCGGTTTTTCTTTCATCTTTGTTTGGGCTGTGTAGCTGTTTCAAAAAATCTTTAGCTTTCTGGACAGAATCAATTTTATTCTTTTTATCCTTATAGTTGAACACAAGTCCCTCTGGAAAAATCCATCTGTAGGGAATCGAGTTGTCCTGAAGGAAAAGGGTTAAATCTTTACATTGCTGTCTTTGCTTCTGCACCTCAAATGGAATGTCCTTTAAAATTTTAACTTCTTTGTCTTTAACTTTCAAGGTTTTCCCCGATGTAGCTTTCAAAACAGTATCTCTAGTAGATCTCTTAGAGAATTTCACAAATATTTCTCCCGGCAATTTATTTTTCTAGATATAATCTGGGTAAGTTCAATATGTCAAATCCATGTCGCTTTACAATACATCTTGTTTGAGATCTGTCATTGGTGCTAACGCTTCACTTAAAAGTTCTTTTAAATTTCCCCCTTTCTGTTCAGGGATACTTTGAAAGCGTAGAACATACATTGATCTTTCCATTTGAAGCTGCAACAATTGACCTTTATCTGAAATTCTTGCTTTTTCCACTTCCTCCAGCTTTTGTTTAATGCCTTTTGTTTTTGTTTCAACTTTCTTAATACCTCTATCGGTTTCATTTGCTCTTTTATCCATCTGTGTCAGCTGCTTTTGGACTCCATCCAACTTGCTGTTGATGTTAGACATCTGCTCCAGCAGGGGGCGCAGTGCCTGCGCCAACTTATTGGTAAAGTCTGCAGCTGCTTCCTGTGTCTGGGTGGGAGTTGTTGGTAGAGTACTTCCTGTGAGAGGTTTCTTTTCCGGCGCCATTCTTCTCCCTCTACCAGACGTTGTTTATATAAGAAGAAAGTTTTTGGATTTAAACTGAAAGTTCTACGATTTGAAAATGCTTTGGATAATTCTGCACCTTTCGGTCTTAGGTACAGTCTCTCATGGTCAGTTTTGCTTATTTTCCCCCCGTTTGTCATTCAGAGACCAATCAATTTCGAGGGGGGGGGTTGACCCCAACTCTTCCCCCACCTGCCGCTTATTGCATAAGTTGATGCCGTTTGCCTTAAAGACTTTAGCTGCTTTTGAAGGGGGTCGATTAACTCACAGTTTGGTCATGTTTAAGTCATTGTAGGAGGGTATTCATGCTAGATCACTTGTCCCCTCATCCGGCATCCAGCTCTAATCACCATGATGGCTTCACAGCGGAAGGACTTCTCGGGGTAGGGAGAGCCTCGATTCATCAGCCATCACCTCAGAAGAGGCTCTCCCCCACAAAGACTCCGGGGGGGGGGCAGACCCAGCCAGGGCCCCTCCTGTCCGCCGCGACTCAGCACATCTCCATCAAGAGCTCGATGGGATGCATCCTAGCTTCAAGTCACCAAAACCGCAGGATATAAGCTTTTGAGAGTCAAAAGCCTCCCTGTATCAGATACGGGTAGGAATGGAGATCTCCAAGTCTTTATATCCCAGTCAGAAGATGGGAGGGATGTTGTAAAGAATGTTTGTACAGAGTGCAAAGGTACAAAGTATATTGTCATCAGATTGATTAGAGCAAAGGGGAAATGCTTGGGGGCCGAAAATTAGCATTTGTACTAATGCAGTGATATTATGTAGGGCTCAAATCAAGCTGATTACAATAGGGAGCTTTGACTCTTAGAAGCTGACACCCTGAAAATCTTGTTGGTCTCTAAGGTGCTACAGAACTCGAACCTAACTGTTCTACTGCAGACCAAGACAACTACCCTCTGAAACTATCTTCATGCAATAAGGCTGTAATCGAAAAGAATGCACATTCAATAGTACAAATGTACAGCCCAGTAAAAGAAGCTAGTTTCCCTCCAAGCATCAGTTTGGCAAGAAGGAGAAAGAATGAATCCAGCCTCTGAGAGCCTGCTCTCCCAAACTGCTAATCAGGGGGATTCTAGCTGTGTTTACTTGGCTATTAGTATGCAGACCTAGCTCAATTGAGGTAACACTGGCTTGGATCTGCAATCCATCATTAGAAGATGCTGGCAAAGACAGATTTCCATTGTGTTCCCTTCTCCCCAGAAAAGCCGACCCCTAAAGCCCCACTGGACCTATGTAAAAAAACAAGCATGCAGTTTAGGGGGACTGCAGTGAGGACAGGGAAGTAGGTGATATAATCTCCTTCCTTTTCTATCAGTGGAGCTGGTAGTTCCACAAGAGGGGGGAGTGACAATTTCACCACCTCCTCACTGCAGCCCCCAAACCGTTTGGCTGATTGTTCACTCAGATCCTGTGACTACAGAAATCATCTTTCTGAGCATCATATGAGGCAGCAAGAGGGAGGGAAAAGCAGTGGAAAACCATGCTCCTTCTGCTGTTGGATAACTGGACCTATGCCAACATACTCTTTTACACAACTAAATTCTTGAGCTCAGAATAATTTTTTGGCAATGTTTGTAGTATTCTTCATGCAGAATTTCTATTCCAACACAAAAACAAATCAGGTGTGCTTATGCCAAACTCCTTGTGTAAAAACCAATGTTATGCAAATCACATGCATCACTATACCTCATTTCATTTCTAAGATTTAGATGTTCCTGGTGCAGAAACTGGACAAGGAAGGGAGGTGGAGAGATGGTGGCACCAACTGTAACTTACACACTTGATATAAAGATACAGGACTGAAACACATTATTTTAGATACAAAATCTTATTTAGAACATGTAATCCACCCACATATAGTCTACAGGAGTCCCCAGTGTGGCACCCATGGGTACTGTGGCACCCACCAACAACCTTCCTGGCACTTGTCAAGTATTTTTAGGGAATAGGCAGGGCCAGGTGGGGCTTTTGGCCAGTAGGGCTTCCGACTGGCCACTGGAGATCTGATTGGCTGTGCTGATTCAAAGAAACACTGCTTCAGTAACAGATGCCACTGTAGCAAATGGGTCCTCCCTGAGTGACTGGGCACGCAAAAAAATATTCTGAAGCAATGTCAATGTAAAAGGCATCCTGGTAAACAGAGCTTCTACCTGACCTGTTGAAGAGTTACTATTAGAGTTATGCAAAACCCTGACATTTTATGGTTGACTCTGACTCTGGTGGCAGCCATTTTGCAGTTGTACCTACCTCCTTGTGTCAGGACTCCACCAGCTCAAACATGCTGGGGACCCTGGCTCTACAGTGTGCAAGACAGTTGTAGGATGTAAAGGGATGTATCAGAAAAGTGATAACCAAGGTAGTTCAACTAGTGTTCCTAGTTTAATTTCTGCAGGATTATTTGAAAGACAGGATTTACCAGCTGGATGAATTACTACAATACAAATTGCTAGGATTTCTTCCCTCCCCAAACTACAACAGATACTAGCTTATGAGACAGAACAACATGTTCATATTACAGATATATTATGAAACACAAGGCGGCACAGACACCTTCAACTAAAGAGAAAGGTCTCAGTCAATAATCTTACCTAGCGTCATTAAGGCAGCTATCAGCAGCCATCCAGATTGCATTCGTTGTACTGAAATCCGACTATTCTGTGATGCAGAACGCAACAAATCCTCAGCTACTGTCATGATGACCTAAGGAAAGCAAAATTACTTGGGTGGGACGAGCTGTACATATGCATTTGTATATACATTATACGCACTCTCTCACCACCACCAAACTATGTATGCTGTGCACGAGGTCACTTCACACATCTCTCCTGCAAAAGGTTATGTGTGTATGTAAAGTGCCATCAAGTCACAGCTATGGTGACCCCAATGAGGGGTCCATTACAAGGACTTAAAAAAAAAAAGGACTTTAAAGGATCTTAACTGAAGAGTGTTTGCTCTTATGTTAGAGGAGAGCTCCAAACACAGCCTGCTTCTTATTATGTTTTGGGGAGCTTTGCTTTAAGAAGTAGTAGAAGCTGTCATCTCACTTCGTTATGCCTCTTATTTAGATACATAGCTTTGTCTATACTGACATCTTCAACCAGACAACAGCTTCTTAGCTGGAACAGAAAGTCAGGGCTTGAATCCAGGGTCACAGCCTGAGAAACAGCTATGACACCAGATATGCAAGTTGCCCCCTCCTGACCTAATGAAGCAGCAATGAAAGACAAGAGTAGAGAACATGTAGATTCCTTTCCTGAATGCTTCAGTTTCCATAACAGAGAGGCAACTGATCGGTGGATGTACTTCTAATTAGCCACTTTAAAAGAAAATCTTTTCCCTGGCAAAGCCAAATAGATTTCAGTTGCATTGTCTAAGAACACAGACATACATTTTTCTCTCTCACTAACAAAGCTGTGATGTCTGTGGGAAAGAGGTAAGTATGGTAACCTGCCAATTTGAACTAAATGATAAACCAGAATGAGGTTATAGAAACCCTGAATTACTTAAAATAGTTTTTTAATCTTTTTTTTTTTTAAAGAACCCCCTACTTATAGTATTTGAATTCTGAAAACATAAATCCAGTACATTTCAAGACAAGGATTTTTCCATACACTTTAAAATTTTAATTTCCATGATTAAAAGTGATTCTAAGGAATATTCCTTTTCATTATATAAATAGTATAGTAGAAGAGTGATATATCAAAGAAGTAAGTAATCTTTATGTGGTAAACTCAGTAATGATCTACTGTCTTAGTGGCTGTGTTTCACGGTTATAATGAGAAACACAATACCTTTGAAGTAGAACATTTTAAAATACTGTAAGCTCTTAAACACCACCTTAAGAAAACTTATGCTTCATCTCTGTTCCTCGTGCATAACTAAGAAAATGAGCACACAAATGTGCATGTAGTAAGAACAGATGGTCCTCTTGCACTGCCCCCCCCCAAGATTTCACAATTTTTAAATCATGTGTTTTAAAGTTGCCTGTTGAACACATGAAGCTGCCTTATACCGAGTCAGACCATTAGTCTATTAGTATCACTGTTGTTTACTCAGACTGTCAGAGGCTTTTTGGAGTCTCAGATGTTTCACATTACCTGCTACTTGAATCTTTTAATTGGAGATTGAACCTGGGACCTTTTGCATGTAAAGCTCTACAACTGAGCCACAGCCCCTCACCACCTTAAATGATACATGACATATACAGCTTTGACAATGCCACAAACATTGAAGATGTTGTTCTGATAATTACCTTTCCTTTGCAATGAGGAATTCCCAAAGGACACTGCCTTACTGCTCCCAGCAAAGCAGCAATAGCAAAGCTATAACCAGTCACTGCTTCTGGGGAAGATTTCAGTGCTGTAAGTCTCTCTATACAGCGATCTAGAAGTGGAGTGAGAAGGCAAGGCAATGCTACAGCAATGCAGCGTAAGCACCACGCTGCCGCTAGCTGAACTGAAATGCTGGGGTGGAGAATAATGGAAATTACTGCATCCAAGACCCCTGAAAAGCCAAAGAAATTTAACAAAATCAGAACATTTTTCTTTCCAGGCAGATAGTTTCAGACACATGAATGCATGGTAGAATTTTATTTATTTATTTATTTTATTTGATTTCTATCCCGCCTTGCCTGACAAGCAAGCTCAAGGCGGTGTACAATAATAATTTACAATAAAAACAGATACAATTCTAACGATAAAATATAAAGTGCATATTAAATACAAACGATAAAGTGCAGATGGTGATTGTTGTAGTTGGCCCCGTATGACTAGACCAGTATCCCAAAGAAAGTGCCAGTAATAGATATTCAGTAGCTCGTTAAGTGGCGGCTCCTAATTGAAAGCCTGGTGGAAGAGCTCGGTTTTACAGGCCCTGCCGAACTGTAGAAGGTCCCACAGGGCCCTGATGTCCTCCGGGAGCTCTTTCCACCAGTATGGAGCCGCCACTGAGAAGAAGAAAGAAATGCCATATGATAGATATGTCTGAGTATCATTTTTCCCTTGTTGGTGTTGATGATTCATCTTCTCTCTCTTTCTGGACACCACCAAAATTTTACCTCATTCTCTTTACTTCCCTCACATTCTATGCAGCGTTCTTTTTTGTTGGTATTCCCTGTTCTACTCTTAAGCGCCTCTCCTCTAAATCCAGAATGCTACTACGTACCTGATATATTTCACTCCTTTATATCATTTTCTTTGCTGGCAATCTCTTTACATTTTCACTTTAAGTTTCTTGTAATTAATAATTAAATGCTGTCACGTCGCAAACAACTCATGGAGACTCCCATGGGGTTAGACAAGAGGTAAGCAGAGGTGGTTTGCCACTGCCTTCCTCTGCATAGTAACCCAGGTCTTTTCTTGGTGGCCTCCCATTCAAGCCAACATTGCTTAACTTCCAAGCTCTGACAAGTTCAGGCTAGTCTGGGCTAGATGGGCTATTGCTGCTGCTTCTTGTTGTTGTTTTGCTGTCAAATCACAGCTGATTTATGGTGTTCCCATAGGGTTTCAAGACAAGAGTAGTTCAGAGGTGGTTTGCCATTGCCTGCCTCCACATCATAACCCTGGTATTCCTTGATGGTCATCAATCCAAATACTAGTCAGGGCCAATCCTGTTTAGCTTCCAAGATTTAACGAGATCAGGATAGCCTAGGCTATCCAGGTCAGTGCTGCTTCTTGTACTTAATATTAAATGCCTCCCCACTCTCACTTCTCTTTCCTCCCTTGAACCATTGCTCTATTAGAACCAATCTTGGAAATTACATTTTCTGCATTCCTCCTGCCTTGCAGCTGCCTACTATTGGTCTACCCAACATTCTACTCTCTTTTTCTGTTTCAGTGTTAAATTTTCCCCCTTTTTACCCAGGAATCTACAGACTTTGCCTTTCTCCCTTTTACCTTACTTCACTTTTCTTTCTACCATGTCTTGTCTCTCATTATATTGAAGGCATTTTCATTTTTGTACCATTTTGTGCATGCTATTGTAGGAAGTGCCAAGCGTTCAAATGATTTTTATTGATTATTGCTATTTTACAGAAGCCTTTGGGAAGAAATTCTCTGGGAATCTCCTGGAGAGTTGACAACCTGTTTTAGAACACTAGACACTACTGTATACATGTTTTTCTAGCCCTTGTTTCAAAGAAAAAGAAAGGGTTTGTGATGTAACCTTTTAATTGGAAAATTATTGCAGGTGTTCTGTTTTCTCAGCCAAGTGTCCAAGATTTATTACAGAATCCTGCTACTTCAAAGAAATAGGGAGTTTTGTTCTTTGAACTGCAGGTGTGTTTCTACCTCGTTAAAATCTCTGCCATTTCCCATTAGTGGGTCAAGTTGACCTGGCAGGGCGCCAGCCAAGCCAAGAAATAGAATTAAGTGAGGTGCAATCGTATTCTCTATGCAACATTTATATTAAGTTTTTAAGGGTACTATATAGCAACTCTGAATGTTTATAGCTGACAATGAAAACCTATGCAGTGGTTTGTGAAACCCAGACTATGTTAGCTTGGGATGCTGCAATATAAAAAGAAAATACTCTGTTTGCATTTTTAACTGGAATAACAGAAAGCTGTGTTTAAGGTGTATGTGGGCAGTTCTAATTGGAAAGAAACTACTGCCAGCTCTAGGAGTTATTGTTCTATCTTGTACTTTTTAGAGAAGAGCCTAACTAGGTCAAAAAGGACAGTTATCTCTCCTTATATATAATTGAATAGTGGGTGCCAAAGTTCTAATTCTAAAATGCACTCCCTTAGTGTATGGCTGATGGCACTGCTCCTCAGCATATATCGCCACCAATCAGAAGGCAAAGCCCGGGTCCCGCCCACACCACAACTGCTGCGACAACCTGGTCTTTTGCATATGGAAGCTGATTGGACTTCAGGCCATTCCCCCCCCCAAACCCCCCCCCCCCCCCGGTTGGAATGTCAGTTGCTTATGGAACCTGCTGTATTCTGGTGGTGTGCAGGTCCCAGGTTCATGTATTAAAAGCAGACTGACACTGTTTGCCCAAAGCCAGAGCACTCTCCCAGAGCCTCTTTCTAGATCCCGTTGTATTTATTTCCACAACGGGCCTTATTTCTAGTATATATATATTGTAACAGAGAGAAATCCTTTCTCTTGATATAACTACTTGTGTGTTTTAGAACCTCACTGAGAATGAACTGAGAATGAACTGAACTGAGTCGATTCAGTCAAAGGTAACATAAGTCTGGGAGTAATGCCAAAAGGAATAAACAAGACTGCAAATCAAAAATAATGAGCTGCACCTGCATTGTAGGAGTGAAAACGCAGCCAACTAACATCCTGTATGCCAAATATGTGATTGATGACTGGCCAGACAAAGAAATCTGAACTGAGCATGTCTGTGTGATGTCAGTGATGATGTAAAGTGAGGAGGAGCAAGAAGAGTATATAAGTCTGCTTTCTGTATTTGCTCACTGAACACCCACGCTGTGAGGTGCTCCTTTATTCAAATAAATACTTTTTATTACCCTTTACTGCCTGGATGATTGTGTTCACTGTGTGGTTTATTGGCTAGCCACACAAGTCAAAGAACCTTAGCGCCTTTAGCACATTGGCAACACTATCTAAAATAATAATATTATATTACAACACTGTACTATCCTATACACTTACTGAGCTGAATAAGTGGATAAAGCCTGTACTGGTGCTGCTAACACCGAAAACCTTAGAAATTGTGATAATTACTGCAATGATCTTAGTCAGCATACCATGTCTGGATCTACTGCATTTGAGTACCCTGTTCTTTTAAAAACTTGTGGCACAACCACATCTGTATTCATATACTGTTCCACTAATTTTAGTTGGAATTCCTCCCAAGTGGGAATAGGACTGCATACAGATTGTAAAAAGTATATATTTATTCTAATACTAGGGTTCAGTTCAGATGTAATGGCAACCATAGTCACAAAAAAAAGATTATTCATTTGGGCATAATGGCAATTTATGGTTTACCACAAAAAGTAATAGTTGATTAGCTGGTAATGTGAGAAGGAAGAATGGGGTGAATATGTAAGCTTGAGGATCCCTAGGTTCATAAGAATTAGAACAATGTACCCTAAATTAGTTTTCACAAAACATAACTTAATTTCAAAATGATGTTGAAAAATACAGATAAATACAGGAAGCATGAAAACTGAGACTAAACACCATTCACTATGATCTCCAACAACTCAGAATGAATACACAATCTTTTCTCCATGAACCAGACACTCTTGTGATAAAGGCACCTCCTGTCAACACACTAGGCCTTTTCATAGTTCTTGTTCAAAATCCAACAATGATTAATGCTGAGGAAATCAAGGTCAAGCTGACTAGCTCAGAGGGAGAAATAAGAAGGATGGAAGGCATTGATCGGCACTGGGTACATCACAGGACCTAGTAGTTTCAAGGCCACTCCTACACATTCATATAGCCTCTGTAATGGTTACAGCTTACTGTTGAAAATTCCAGCCCATTAATGCAGGTGGATATGGCCAGTTAACGATAGATGGATGACCGATAGGTGGGTGACAGCAACTTCGGGGAGGCCATGTATAGATGCCTGCTACCTCAGCCAAAAGGGAGCATGTTCCACCAAGTGGGGGCCAGGGCAGAAAAAGCCCTGGGCCTGGTTGAGGCTAGACGGATGTCCTTTGGGCCAGGGACCACCAGGAGATGTTGATTATTAGAGCGTAAAGCTCTTCGAGGTGTATCCCTTAGATATCTTGGTCCCAGGCCGTATAAGGCTTTGAAGTTTATTACCAACACCTTGAAGCGGATCCGGTACTCAACTAGTAACCAGTGCAGCTGACAAAGCACGTGCTGAATGTGAGCCCACACAGGTGTCGACATCAGCAGGTGCGCTGCCGCATTTTGCACCAGCTGTAATTTCCAGATCAGCTTCAGGGGTAAGCCTGCATAGACCGAGTTGCAATAATCAAGTCTGGAAGTGACCATTGCATGGATCACTGTAGCTAAGAATTGGAGGGAGAGAGAGAGCTTCAGTAGCCTGATCTGCCAAAGATAGAAAAATGAAGATCTGGTGACTGCAGCAACCTGGGCCTCCATGGACAAAGAGGCATCCAGTGTTACTCCCAGGCTCCTCACTGTCTGGACTCACACCAGAGGTGCCCCTTCCAGTGTGGGGAGCCTGGTGCCCATGTCTGTAACCTCTCAACCCAGGAGCAGAACCTCTATCTTTGATGGATTTAACTTCAATTGACTCTGCCACAGCCATCCAGACACAGTGTCCAATGCCTCAGCCAGCTTTCCAGGAACGGAAAACGGATGGCCGTCCCTTAACAGATAGAGCTGGGTGTCATTAGCATACTGATGACAACCCAGCTCATAGCTTCAGACTAACTGGGTGAAGGAGCGCATGTAGATGTTGAATAACATTGGTGAGAGGATTGCCCCCTGTAGCACTTCACATTCTAGCAGGTACCATGGGGTGACCCTCTCAGCAAGCACCACCCTCTGTCCCTGACGATAGAGAAAGTAGGAAAACCATTTCAAGGCAGTCCCCTGAACTCCTACATTGGCGAGGCAGTGGGTCATGAGATCATAGTCGGCCGTGTCAAATGCTGCTGTTAGGTCTAACAACAACAGCAGTGCTGACCTGCCTCAGTCCAGATGTCTATAGAGGTCATCTGTAAGGGTGACCCGAGCTGTCTCCGTCCTGTGGCTGGGGCGGAAGCTGGACTGGAAGGAGTCAAGGACAGAAATGTCATCCAGGAAGGTCTGGAGTTCTTCAGCCACCACTCTCTCAACCACCTTGCCCAGGAACGGTAGATTCGATACTGGGCAGTAGCTGGTCAGGACCATCAGGTCCAATGATGTCTTTTTCAAGAGCAGACGAACTACCACCTCCTTCAGGGCCTCTGGGGAATTCCCAGTAGAAAGGGACAAGTTGATAATATCTCCCAGAGGGGCCTGAATGCTCTCCCCGCAAGATTTCACTAGCCACGAAGGGAATGGGTCAAGAGACAGGTAGAAGACCTCACTGCTGCCAGGATCCTGTCAACTTCCTCCTGGGAGAGTCAATTGAAGTGGTCCAATATCAGACCAGAAGACGGACAAGGGGCATCCAGTTCCTTTACTGTCTCAATTGTGGCTGGGAGGTCCTAGCAGATTGTCACAATCTTATCTGCAAAATAGCTTGCAAATGCCTCACAGTCAATAGCCAATTCCCTACTATTTGGTCTGCCCTGTGCAGAGTCGTAATAGACCAAATAACTCTAAACAATTGGACTGGGCATGAGCTCGCAGATGCAATGGAGGTCACATAGAAATCCTTTTTTGCGGCCTTTACTGCCATCCCACAGGCCCTCATGAACGTCCTTTAAGATGTTTGTGACACTTCATCATGAGCATGCTGCCACCTTTGCTCTAACCGTCTTATTTGCCTAACCTGTCTCCTTTAAGAGGGATTAGGGATTGGATACTCTTGGAAAATTCTAGACTACTGAATCTAGAAGGATTTAAGCTAATGATGGGGTGGCACAAGTACATATGGTATGATGAAGAAAAAACGAGAAAAACATTTGAAACACATACACTAAGAGGATCGTTAATGAAAATATGGAAAGAAATCAGAAAAATTTTCTATACTAAAAAACCAAATTGGGTGGCTCCCATAGAGGCTAATACAAAGCATACTCTGATAGACAAATTTACAAAAATAACATAAGGATTTGTTAAATAAGGATAATAAACTAAAATCCAACAAAGAATTAGAAAAACAAAACAAAACTTACATGGTGGGACAATATACAATTAACATCAAGATTTAACAGAGACAAAAATAGGATTTTATGAGAATAACAACGAATTAGACAAGATCTGGCTCTCCTCAAACAATAAACTAATACAAAAATTATATAACTTGTTATTAGCGGATTGTCTAATAGATGAGACTGTAAAAGGAGCCATGATATCATGGATGAGGGACGTGGGGCATCTCATAGAAATAGAACAATGGTCTAAAATATGGAACACAGCAAAGATGATGAGAGCAATTCCATATAAAGAAAATATTTTGAAGATGTTCCATAGGTGGTATTGGACACCAGACCGAATATCTAAGTGCTATAGAAAGGCTAATAAGAATTGTTGGAAATGTAAAAACAACGTGGGTACTTTTATACATGTCTGGTGGAAATGTGGAAGAATCCAAAATTATTGGACTAAAATATATAAAATATTAAGGGATATTACAGGATTAGATATTCCTTTTGTACCGGAGATAGCACTATTAAACATGCTTCCAAGTAATTACAGTGCTAAGAACAAATATCTAATTAGTTACACTTTTACTGCGGGCAAGAATTTAATTAGCAAAATACTGGAAAGGAGAAAAAATCCCCCCCAAGAAAGACCTGATTGATAAAATGTTGTCAATAGCTGAGATGGATAGATTAAATGTATTTCTACAAGGAAAAGAATATGAGATATTTGAAAAGAGATGGAGGAAGTTTTATGTTTGGTTAGAGAAGGGGGGGAAGTGACTTGTAATGATAAATGTAGTACATTCGATATGTTGCTATGTATGATATAAATTATAAATAAACAGTAAAAAAAAAAGAGGGACTTTGGCCTACAGGTTCTTTGACATCTCCCATGTTAGTTCTTGTGGTAATTCTACATCCTGAATCACAGGCTGAGATACCCAATTCATACCATGCTTTATTTGAATTTGTAAACTGTCAAACAGCTCAAGGAGCCAAACTCATATTGATATAATCACACAGAAAGAAATGCCACTCATTACCTGTACTAGAATCTTGCAGCACTGGTGCAGCTGTAGTGCCTAAGCCATGCATGAGGTTTCCAAGTTCTTCTAGGGCACATATAAGCATATGCTGGCTTCCGATTACATCTGTAGTACCAACACGGGTTTCCACATTGGAGTCACTAATTGCAGCGTCTAGCAACACAATAATGTTGATGCTTTATTGTATTTTTTTGTTTAGTTTAGAGACGCCAATGTTGGATCAGGCCAAAGGCCCATCCAGTCCAACACTCTGTGTCACACAGTGGCCAGAAATACCAGTGCCATCAGGAGGTCCAGCAGTGGGGCCAGGACATTAGAAGCCCTCCCACTGTTGACCCCCCCCCAAGCACCAAGAAGACAGAGCATCACTTGCCCCAGAGCCCCTAGCTATACCTTGTGGCTAATAGCCACTGATGGACCTCTGCTCCATATGCTTAAGTAAGACAAGCCAGGTGCCATCAGGAGGTCCACCAGTGGGGCCAGGACACTAAAAGCTCTCCCACTGTTGCCCCCTCCAGCACCAAGAATACATGGCCTCACTTGCCCCAGAGTTTCTATGTATACCTTGTGGTTTATAGCCACTGATGGATCTCTGCTCCATGTGTTTATCTAATTCCCTCTTGAAGCCATCCATGCTTGTAGCCACCACCACCTCCTGTGGCAGTGAATTCCATGTGTTAATCACTCTTTGGGTGAAGACTTACTTCCTTTTATCTGTTCTAACCCGACTGCTCAGCAATTTCATTGAGTGCCCACAAGTTCTTGTATTGTGAGAAAGGGAGAAAAGTACTTCTTTCTAAATAAGAGGGCAGCAGGCTACAGAATCCTATACTGCCTTCCTATAGCCTTTTTATTCTCTAGCAGGAGTCCTTTCCTACTGGCCTTAGCCAAACCTAAGGCTTATGTCACTACCTACCTTAACCATGTTTAATGAGGATTTGCTACTAATTAGCATTTGAAGCGGGTGCCTGAAGTCCACATTAACTATCATCAGCATTCTCAACTTAGTATTCTGTACTACTAAGCAGCAATGATTCTTTGGGTGAGGTGGGGAATACACATTTTTCAATTGTGTCTCTTTTGTTCTTTTGGTACTTTTCCTCAGTAAATCGCCATCCATGGGTGGGTTTGGGGGGATGGGGATGGATTTTAGAATGTTTTTAGAAATATTTTTTATAAGTGCACACATGCTTCAGAGTACGTAGTTCTTATAATATTTCAACCCTTCTCAACATCTTGAGAAATTCTACTTCTGAATAAAGGACATTCATTTTGGCTCTGATGTGTAGGAAAAGGAGTTTATTTGCACGTACACTAAGAAGCCACCTAATGAGCGAACCGCTATTCCATATGCTAGATGCTACTGATGCTCATTTTGAATGGTACAGGGTGATAAAACATGTTACAACACTTTCTATCTTTAAATCCCTTTTGCTTCTGAATCATGTTATTAGACACAGGCCTTGGCCAAGTTAATTCCTTCTCAGTTGTCCAAATGTAACTTGTATTGCTTCTACTTGATTCCCTGCACAACTATCTATGAAAATGCTAACTGCAGCCAAGCGTGTTTGGACAGTGGCTATTCTTTAATTAACAAGGCAGATTAATCATTCTTAGAATCTGCATACAGGAAATTATTCTGGACAGGTTACTGATACTTCTGCTTCAGAAATCTACATAAGACAGGCTATTTCAAAATAAGTGAATCTAACAGTACAGCAGATAAGAAAGAGCTTCCAGCAGTGCATAACAGTTGTACTGGTATAAGAAGTGCTGGTTATAAACCACTGGGCCCCTAATCTCACCAGGAAATACTGGAGGATGTACAAAAACATTGGTGGAACACATTACTCACTGATGCCCATCACCTGAGATGACAGTGGCAGGTGATTAGCTTTGCATGAACTACAGTTTCATGCCAGGTTTCTATACAAGACCCAAGTAATTTTGTTTGGCCACATAAGAACTAAGAGGTATGACATAGCTGAAGCAATCAGTAAAATAATCTATAGCTAAATGTAATAATTTTAAAAGAACTTACTGAGTATACCATCTACATTTTAGCACTTTTTGCAAGTTACCCTCAGAAATGGTGGAAGAACACAAACTTCCCATTCTGGGTCAGGGTAGCAGCAGTAATGGTAGATACAACCATTAGAACTACTTCCCATATATTTCTCTAACTCTTCTCTAAAATTAAGGCTAGGTGTTTTACAATGCAATTCTATGCAGGTTTACTCAGAAGTAAATTCCACTGTATTTTGTGAGATCTACTCCCACAAAAGCAGGCATAGGACTGCATGGTTAGTAAGCATTCTGAAAAAACCCAAACAATTCCAGAGAACTCTGTGACATTTTTGTACGATATTACATCAGCATTAGAAATATGATTACTCCATACACTTCCTGAGTAGATCACGAAATGATACAAGCATTGGTGAAAGGTGAAAGACAGAGGGGCATATAATCTTGTTAATCTCATACCCACAACTTTCTTCAGCTTCCAGATGGTTTGACAGATCTCCTTGGCAGTTGCAATTTGAGCTTTCTCCCCAAGAAGGCCTCCTACAGTAGCTCGGAGGATAAAGGAAATACACCGGCGGCTACAGATCACATCCATCTGACTCTGAATAGCTTTAGAGTGAGACTGAGCGACTAGGTCTAGAAGACGGGAAAGCAAGGCTGAGAAATTCCTTTCAAGCCACAGACCTCCTAGTGTGGAGATAAATACCACATATGCCTGAAAGAGAGTTTTGATTAAAGATGCTTTAAATCAAAAACATCAAAAAAAACCCCACAAAAAACACCCATGCATACTTCCAGTTATAAAACTTTAGTTTCATCATGCAGGTAGCCACTGCTAAAGATTTCTATAATTAACCCCATGATTACAAGGCAACATGTTTAAAGCATAAAATGGAAAAAGAGGCACAACATGTACTTCATTTGCCAAATTCAGAATTTATGCTGAAAAAACTGTTTTCAGTTAAAACAGCAGCAGAATAAACCAAATCTTATTTTACAAATTAATTTGACCTATTTTGCTGTTTTATTTTATTGCTGAGTAGGAGAAACAGCAGATACTTTGTTACGTAAAACATTACATTCGGCTTCATGAACAAGTGCTTCCAGCTACTTAACATTCTGCACATGGAACCCAAATTTAATGTATGAATGCATTTTTAGAACTATTATGCCCTTGTGGGGAGTCAAGGACTCTTCTAATTTTCAGGCACCCTTCCCCTGTTGTAGGTTTTAATTACAGAATGTTTGCAACTACTGAAATATTTCTTCTCATCACAAATGCAGTTTAATTGTCTTGCAACCATGGGAATCACAACAGAAAGGCAGAATATACAGCTGCTTCACAAGTCTATTGAGGTCATTTATCTTGCTGCATATCAACCCTTAACCAACACTTAATGAGTAGGTTTACTTTATAAATACTGTATGCACACAGAGAATCAGTCACAATGGGGAGTACATAAAAATGTAGGCACACACTGAGTATCGTCCTAATTATTAAAAGAGAGTTATTTTGAGGCCAATCCCTCCAATTTTATAATTTATTTTAATACATTTTCCTATCATTTTATTTGAAAATAAAGAAAATAGATCTCTAATTAGACAGTATTATGTCTGACTATATAGAGAGAGCCAATTATTCCAGAGGCACATTCCAGGAAACTCACTACCAACATAATATAGGAAAGCTATCACATGAATCCATCTTTCAGGAAAAAATGAATCTTCTGAGGACAGGGTTTTGTATTTCTGCTGAACACTCATCTTCTGGGGATAATGGAAGAGATTCACCCGCCCACCTCTAGATAGTGAATGCACACAACATCCCCCCCCCGCCAACCATTAGCAACAGAAACAACTCTAAGACTTTCTCCCCAGCAATCTGCTACAGATTCTGAACCAAAAATGATCCAGTTAACTCTATTTTTAAGATAATAAAGAACAAATTGCAGCTTTCTGCTGTTTAGATGTGGTATCTCTCTGAAGGATAAAAAAATTAGTAAGTGGCAAATCCTTCTCTTATTTTTCCTACTGGATTTGTGTCATTTTACCAAAAGCAATCCCATAAATTTAACACACATTACAACTGACGTTGTCACAGAACGTGTTCAGATACTGTCTTGCTAAATATAAATTGTTCTGTGAGTTACTTCACTTATAAATAGTATATATAATCTTGATGACTTATTGAGAGCAAGGCAACTGGCCCCAACAGTAAATGATGAGGAAAAATGTTGAAAGGTTACTCTAGGGCCAATCAAGTTGCTTCTGCATGCTTGATCAAGGACAAATTCTTTCAGACACTGACTAAGAACAATTACATGTTTAAAGAGAGACCAGATAACTTGGACTGCTTTTGTGGTATCTGAAAGTACATAACATTGCAAACTGCTCAGCATTCCTCTTACAAAAAGAGACTTTGCTTTTAATGGTGGGAAGCAATTTACAATACAATCCTAAGCACAGTAACTATGCTTTTAAGTCCATTACAGTCAATGGCCTTAGACTGAAACAACTCTGTGTTTAAAAATTTTATTCAAATATCCATTTTTGAAATCACACCTGGACTAGGCAACTATGATGCTTTCATCACTGTGATAGGACTTTTTAAATAAAATTAACAGCAATCTCCTGTCAACCGTTTGAAAACATTAACAATCAAGCTACCATGAGCATGTGGGTAAAATAGTGGGAAATATTAGAAGGGACATAATCAGTATATATATAAAAAAACATATGCCAAACCTGTGTGACTCCAACTCTAACATCCCTGCTGACTGAACTGGTCCCTTTTAGTATATCACCACTGGCTCGTAGAAATCCTGAACTCCCACGCAGGAAGCCTGTCCCCAGCAATTCCAACGCTTCCTCAAATGAAATTTTGCGAATATTTTGTTTGGCCGATGCTTTAAAAAAATAATAATGTACCATTCACTGAAAGAGGTGTACATATTTCTACTGTGTTCCAGTATTTTTTTTTACAGACAGTAGAACTATATCTAAATATTGAAGCATAAGTTCATAACAAAAATTTATTAGGTAAAAAAATCTGAAAAATGCTGGTCAGCCCAAGCCTGTGTATGGTTACTTAAACATCTTGTTGTGTTTAGTGATACAAATCTACATAAGCATTGAATCGTCAGAGGTTGTAGAAAGAGAAACATTGAATGCCATTTTTAAATACACCCTACATAAATGTAACTAGTAGTGCAACCCTGTGCATAGCTATGCCCATCTATGCCCACTAAAATCAATAGGCTTAGACTGGAGTAACTCTGTAAAGGGTTGTGTTATAGGATGAAAGATGTTAGTTTAAGGCACTATCAGCTCAAGTGTTGACAGCTTTCAGTGGTGCTAACACTAGAGATATAACATTATGCTACCATCTGATTTCTGCAATTCTGTTTATATTATACTAAGAGTACGGCCTGTTGTGGGAAGAAATACAACGAACTCTAGAAGGAAGCGCCAGGTGAGTGTCCCGACTGTGGCTGGTGGGGCGACAGAAGGAAGGGGAAAACAGAGAGAGGCAAGCCATGTTTATTTCCTTCTGCTTAGCTATAAGGCAGGGCTGTCTCAAGTCGTTTTGCTGCCCCAAGAGGGTAGTATGGGAGGACGGCCTCATGGTAACAGGTATGGTTCCTTCCACCCCTGACTTATGTTGATTTGGGGTTATGCAGTGGCAGCTAAGGTAGAAAAGCACCTCCTCCTATGCCATGTCTTCTGGGTTCCTAGGATCTGGAAAGCGATTTCATAGCCAGTTACAGGGTTGCCAACTCTGAGTTGGGAAATACCTGTAGATTTGAAGGGTAGAGCCTGGGGAGGGCAGGGTTTGGGGTGCGGAGG